TACTTACTTACTTACTTACTTACTTACTTACTTACTTACTTACTTACTTACTTACTTACTTAGGTACTTACTTACTGAATACTCACTTACCTACTCTCTTTCCTATTTACTTACATACCTACAAAATTGCTTACTTACTGACTTATTTACTTATTTACCGACGTATTCAGTTACATACTTAGTTACTTATTCACTCACTTACTTACTTACTTAGTTACTTACACATTTGCTTACCTACTTACCTAGTTTATTAATTACTTGCTAACATAATTACGTACTTACCTACCTACCTACTTACTTACTTGCTTTCTCAGTCACCTAATTACTTCATTCCTTCCTTACTTTCTTATTTACTTACTTGATTACTTACTTGGTTACTCACCTTCTCACTTACTTTCTTACTTCCTGACATACTTACTTCCTTACATAAATACTTACTTGCTCACTTACTTATTTACTTACATACTTCCTACCTTACTTACTTAATGTCTACTTAATTATGTACGTACTTATATATCCTCCTACTCACCTACTTTCTTACTTACTTAATAATTTACCTCCTACTTTATTACTTAGTTAATTACTGAATTACCTACTTTCTTTTCTTACGTACTAACCTAATTACTTACCTACTTACCTTTAGATTTTGCGTTGATCACGTTATCACTGAACTCAGTAAATCTCTAGAAACATCGAAACTGAAAAGTAATGATTAATTTCTCAATAACGTCCAACCTGCACTTGTGATACTACACTGTAAGATAGGATAATGAAGAAAGAAATCAGTATCTATCAGGTGTAGTTTATCTCATGTGTTCATGATTGACTTGATGATAAGTTCTTGCATGATAGATTCACCATCATTTACGTCCTAATGAAGAATATGCAACTAACTGGTCCGTCTTCATTACCATCGATGTTGTTTGTAAGGTAATTTATAAAAGCCATAAACGAGAGACAATGAATGTACTTTGGTAAACCTTAATACTGCTGTATATACACTCTCGAAGGAAATGCTCTACTGCATTTAAGTAATAAATCTGTATCCGTCAGTCACATCCATACTACACGATACCCCACTGATATGAATACCTGAGAATAAAACGATTAGGTTCATTCATAACTTCTTCCTCATTGCTTGCCATCGACAACTACCCATATGCAAGATATTTGGCTTCGTTGCCATGAAGCAGTTACGTGTACTCAAATATCTCTGTCACTATCGTAATAGCTTCCAATTAGAGTTTTCCAGTAATATTTGTAGGAACTCTTTCAACAAATTTTTCTTACATTCATGAATCAGTGGATAGTAGCAACAAGTGTCAAGTCACCTGCTGTAGAGTGTTGCGTGGAAGGAATTAGATAAATACGTTTTCCAGGTGTCCCAAATGTATGGTTAACTGTTGCCTCCTTAGGGGACATTCACTCGTATTCAACGCGATTAGGCTTCATCACAAATTACTACTAAGGTATCCCAAATGTCCATCACCTGAAGTTGATCAGTGTAAAGTGATACAATATTGACTGTGCCGAGTACTTTTGAAGGACCTGCCGTAGAATTTCAGTTGTCCTATTCGCCCTTACGCCGACGACGTTAAGCTGTGGAGAGCTATGATATCCAAAGGAGAACCAAACACACTATAATTTGATGTGAGTTGCATGCCAATTCCTCGTCGACTACCGACACGACTACGACGCAAATACCGCAGTCGTCAGATGCCGTGGTGCAAGCTGCTTCCCTTGAAGATGATGATATCGGTTGAGGTTAATTACCTGGGGCTAATTAAGTCCTGCCTTTGCATGCCTTCTTTTTCAGGCCTGGTCTGATCCTCCACTAGGAATGGAATTACTTTGTGGCACAATGGGGCAACTCCACGACATCTGAGTTTCTGCTAAGGGAGTTGACCGCTTCTTTAGGAGATCAGCAGTCTCCCCTACCTCCTACTGGCTGTGGATACAGCTTTTAGCGTCTTATTGAATTATTGTCACTCCTAGTATGCGACCCTCACGGCAGAATGATAAAACTGTATTGGACAGTGGTAGAGAAATCAAAGATTGAGTGCAGAGGAAGGACAGAGAGCATGAGGGGAAACAATTTATGTTCGCTTACTCTCAGACATCTCTTATATCTAACAATAATAGACAATCAAACAACTATAATGATTCATACTCAGAAGGCGGCGCATTTTGAAATTCCAAATCTGAAAGTGGGTCAGTAAGGTTTTGAAATAGCTTCACAGTACCTGCTTGACGAGTTAATTAGGGTTGAATAGTTTCTATAAAACAGGTAGCAACGAAAGAACCAGTAGATAATATATTTCAAGTTGTTCACACATATTAAATGCCAGTCCGTTGTTTCCCGTCGCCCAAACTGTTCAAGCATTATGTGGTCGTGTTATAGTGTGTTTGGTTCTCCTTTGGATATCATAGCTCTCCACAGCTTAACGTCGTCGGCGTAAGGGCGAATAGGACAACTGAAATTCTACGGCAGGTCCTTCAAAAGTACTCGGCACAGTCAATATTGTATCACTTTACACTGATCAACTTCAGGTGATGGACATTTGGGATACCTTAGTAGTAATTTGTGATGAAGCCTAATCGCGTTGAATACGAGTGAATGTCCCCTAAGGAGGCAACAGTTAACCATACATTTGGGACACCTGGAAAACGTATTTATCTAATTCCTTCCACGCAACACTCTACAGCAGGTGACTTGACACTTGTTGCTACTATCCACTGATTCGTGAATGTAAGAAAAATTTGTTGAAAGAGTTCCTACAAATATTACTGGAAAACTCTAATTGGAAGCTATTACGATAGTGACAGAGATATTTGAGTACACGTGACTGCTTCATGGCAACGAAGCCAAATATCTTGCATATGGGTAGTTGTTGATAGCAAGCAATGAGGAAGAAGTTATGAATGAACCTGATCGTTTTATTCCCAGGTATACACATCAGTGAGGTGTCGTATAGTACCAGTCTAACTCCCCATTGACAGCCTTGGTCTCTTTGGTCTTGACCTCCTCGATATTTACTAAGGGGTTGGGCAACCGGAGATGCCCAGAAGCTTCTCCCTTTCTTCATTCTGTCCATGTATGAGAGCATCAGATTTTGCCTCATAAATGCATCGTGGCCTTCAGCATGGGTTCGTCTAGCAATAGATGCGCACTGAACACAGGTTAAGGGGTATTTGTCAGAGTGCGTCGGAGTTAACAAACCTATCTTCAGGGAGAACTTCTTGGTTAAAGTGTGAGACAGGTTGACCGCTTGATACTTAGCACCGCGCCCGGTTCTAGTGGGGCTCGTCTTTCAAGGGGTTTGAGTGTTTGAAATGCAGAAGAATTCCCTGCAACATGAAGACAGGTTTAGCTGTAAGATAAACCGACTGAGGAGGTTATAAAGTGACACAGAAAGCCTATACCGCCCAATGGTGAAACGTAAGTCGATCAGGAAGGAACTTTTAGGATTTGTTGTGGTGCAAACTTGACAGACGCAAAGACCAACCACTAATTATTTGGACTTGTTATATACCCACGAATACGAGACCAAAGAAGAACACAATAGTGTAGTCGGATGGAATAGTATATTCGGGTGGTTGTGCCAAGATATCGACGCGTTCCAACTGGCTGGCTGGCTTGAACGTCGAATATGAGCAGCGCAACACAACACGACAGCGTGCCAAACGGCGGGGATGCTTGACCGGGTGACTTCAGCTTGGCGAGTCCAGTTAAACTATCAAGGTCAGCATCAATGTTGAATGTCGTCGAACCCTAGGCTATTGATTTTGGGGAAGTGTGTGACGCTACAGACCTAACCTTATCACACGTCCTAGTGCAGGTGTGCTGGGCGGTCTAGGTAGAGCTGAGCTTCTGAGCTCACACTCGGAAGTGCAACCTAGTAATTCTCACACCAAATCTGCACCTTTATGGGACGACGCTGATCTGACCATAAATAGCGAATACCTCTGTCACATCCCCATCACATAGAAGTATCGGAAAAACTATCCCGTCTACGTCTAGCCAGATCCCCTGGCCGTGACCTTCTAAGGCTGGTAATTCTACAGAACTGCGCCGAGACACTTGCAAGCCCAATCTGCAATCTCTTCAAGCAGTCACTGGAGTCATGTAGACCCCTGAAGGATGGAAGCTTGCTATTTGGACACGAGTATTTGGTGTGGAGGGGGGAGCAGAAGAAGCCCTCTTAGCTACAGACCGGCTGCCATGCCATCTGTTCTGCCCAAAGTATTGGAAATCCTGAAGGCCAATGATGTCTGAAAATACATAAACGGGGAAATCCCCGCCCATACAGCTCGTTGTGGCATTCTGAGTGTTTGTCCATGTACTACCAAACTGCTGACTACCTGGGGCAACTGGACTTCTAGTTGGGATAACAGAAAACCAGCACATGCTACTTTTCACGACTCAGATAATGCATTTGATGGTGTAACGCTTACGATCCTGCTTCACAATATCCTGTCAGCCGGCATAAACAAACCTCTGTACTCTTGGTTTAAAGATTACGTAGAAGGCAGACAATTCTTCTCCAAAGTGAACAGAATGAGGTCACAGTGGATGCTGTTGACATCATGGGTATCTCAGGGAGCGACCGTGGGACCACTTCTGTTCCTCCTGTTCGTCAACCATCTGCTGAGCAAAATCTACTCAGTTTCTTAATTTACAAATTACTACCACCTACCCACGAAACTATCGACCTCACCTGAGCTAAAAGGAGAAATGCAGAGGATATTTCTCTGCCCACTGCAGCAGCGAACCAAACAACAAGTACTAAACATGCTTGTACTACCGACGTTGTGTTGTACGAATATTCTTTTTGACTGCCCAGCCGTTGACTTACGTTTTCCTCTTCCTCTTTTCTCTTCCAGAATCTCCTTATCATCATCAGACTTACATTTTTTTGTGGGCTTTCTGCAACAATGTACAAGCAGGCCAGATGAAAAACTGATAATGATTGGTCGTTACAACTGGACATTGAATTTTTGTTGACGTTTTAAGAGGTCCGCTACAGAACGTGTTTTCTATGTTGAACTCCAAGTTCCCTTCTGATATTCTGGTTAGTAATTTTGTATGATCAATCCCTTGGGAGGATATCTTTTTCGAATTTTAAATTTATATTTGCTGAATTTTCAGGATAATTGACTTAAAATTCCTTGTTTTTTCAGTACTGTTGCTTACTTTTTGCGATATATATTTTTGTTTTTGGATTTTATCGGTAAACGTAGCGTATCACGACCAAAAGTTGTAGTAGACAATTTTTAAACTTGGCTATTACTTTGTAATGCTATATTGTTAGGAAGGCTCGGCGATTATGTTAACATATCGATATACATTAATCGTAATCGCGAATATGGGAAACTGACGGACTGAAGCTCTGGAACCTAGTACTTAAGGCCTAATTAGTTTTCGGTTTTGCTTCAGTAGCCGGTAAGAAACCCAGTTGTCCCCCATTACCTAGACTTCTGGTCAGTCTGTACCGTCGTGAGTCGCTAAACAGTTGCCCTCATAAAGCTGTCCTCTGGTGAAACATGTGACACAGCTATCCTGAGACGATGCGTACTGTTTAAGCTGGCCAGTTTCAACGTTTGTACCTTGATGCAGATCGGAGAGCAGGCAGGTTTGGCTAGGACTCTGGAAAGCCTATTTATTAATGTGTGTCGCATCTCAAAAACCTGCATACAGGATTCCAGTGAAGTGCTTCTAATTAGTTCGCCATCTGTCAGCTCGAAAAGTATAATCTTTATACATCTGTTCGAGGACGATACTGCATCAGCAACCGGCCTCGTTGGTTTCAGTGTTGCACTAAGCGCTTGGGCGAAACTGCCCTGCTCGTCTGGATCCCCACCAACAGCCATGTGTGTGATGTTAGGCTATAAGGCTCATCTCAAGTATGAAGCAAGTGAAAAGAAGAACGGTGTCTCTTTGCCATCCCCGCTTATGATCCGATGGATTGCGGCCCGTATGAAACCTAGGACGAATTCTATCGTCAACTTAGTAACCTCAACCAAGTGCACTCAACAGATATACTAGTGCTATCTGGGACTTGAATACGCAGGTTGGGTGTCTAAATTCATAGAAGAATCGTCTAGGTGACTGATGGGAACCAGTTAGTCGCAGGTTGGACAATGGGGATCGTCTTCTGCAGTTTTGCATAGACCACAACCTATTTCTAGGCTGCACCAACTTCCGGTACAGCCATTGCCGTTGTGCTGCATGGCACCCTCCCTTTTCCACTCTAGCCTGAACTCATTAGATCAAAAAGCAATCAGCCGCCGATGGCGTGGGTGGATGCAGAACTGCTGTCCCTTAGAGAGTACTTGTCTGGACTCTGATCATAATTGCGTGCTGAAGTCGTTTTCCTTTTTGGTGATCATCAAAACCGTTGTCCTAAACAGGTCGATGCAGGAAGTTAGTTGCACCTGGTGTTGTAACTTAATACCGGTCGGAACTAGATTCAAGACTAGCTACTGATTCTCCAGAAAGTGTAGGTGAGCAGTGGTTACACATACAAAACGCCATGAAAATGGAGTAAAGCCACTTTCGGCTTGAGAGACGGTTTCGATGATAAACGCTGGGTCTCTGCGAGCTCCCTGCAACTTCTTGACTTCTTTCGGACCCTTTCAGCAGACAGTGAGTACAATGAGTTGCCTGAATTTCGTGAGAGATTACACAACGCTTACTCAAGGACTGTGGGGTTTAGTGATGAGAAAGCGCGAGATGGAAGCAGCAGCTGGACCTAGCAATAGTTGTAAGCTGTTCTGGTTCATTCGAGCCGCTGGCAGCAAGAAGCTTGGTGTCAGTAAGACAGTCTGTGAGGTAGATAATGAGCCGACAAGCAATCTTCAAAGACTCCTGGAACGCTGTGTGAAACTTCAAGAAACAGTTTAGCTAGCCCACTGCTCCAGCGTCTTCAGTCTCAGTGTATTGTGCTCCATGGTAATTTAACACTGATCCACATAACAAAGCTGAAGTCCATGAGGAACTTCAAGTTCGGAAACACCAAAAGACACCCGGCACAGTCAACCCACCCATGGTTCTTTTTAAGGATGGAGGAACGACTCTAATCAGGGAAATAACTGGGTTGTTTGAGAAGGTATGGGAGACTGAGAGTGTTCTGTCACTCTGGAATGAGGCCACCATTGTACCCATCTTTAAAAAGTGTCTTCATAATTTATGTGGCAGTCACCAGCGTGTTAGTCTGTTACTAGTCGGGTCGAAAATATTGACTGCTATTATACTTCACAGACTGCAAAATGCTTGAGAATATGATTTGAAAAGAGCAGGCTGGGTTTCATTCAGGTCGAGATACATTAATCACGTGTTTACCCCCATCAGATGCTTAAACATCGCCGCACGTATTACACTCTAACAATCGTTGTGTTTCTCGGTATTAAGATTGCCTTCGATTCGTTAAAGCAGTACTTTGGAATTATCTGTTAAAAAGAAGCGTGTCTGAGAAAGTTATTAACATCACATAGAGTAAAGGGCAGACAACCGCCTGTCTCCATTGTCCCAAAACAACAGTGGACTTAGACAGACTCGCCAGATTTCTCGACAGGCCTTTGTATGCCGTCACTTATGCCGGAGTGTTATTATTCAGGGCTTTATGGATGATTCTAACTGAGAGGAAGCACGCCCTTTTACCAATCTGGAAATGTGGAGAGGAATACATAGGTGTATGAAATTGTATTTAGATTGGGTTGAATTTCACACAGCATGCAAGCTTGCAGCTATGCCTTTTCAGTGTTAACAATTCATCCATGCAGATCAGCATGGGACCATACAGTACTACGTAACGGTACAACTTGCCACAGCTCATATCACTACATAAAGCCAAAAGGCAGTAAAGTGGAAGATGAAGATAAAAAAATTTAGTCAAAAAAAATATAAAGTACTGAAAGAGAGAAAGGAAGAATGACAAAATGGTGATATTCAGTAGAGCGTTAATATGAGGATAATGTGTGTGGGGATACATCTGCGCCACCGACATCGGTTCTTAGCCATATGAGCTAGAGTCAGTCTCCAACCACTAGTTTCTCTTGTCCCATCGACTCCAACCAGCTAGTCTGCATCACCAAATGTGCCACAAACCAACAGTCAACAACTTCATACATTGATACCATGTTTCAGTCTGGTTGAGGGCGAAGAGCCTTTTTCCAGTCTGAACCTACTTCCACCAACATTGTGTGACGAGGCAGATGGCGACTAGGCATACGAAACGCGTCCCAGCCAGCCAGCCATCTCAGTCTATGAAGGTTCACAACCATGTCAATTGATTTGCCTCTTCTCCCTAAAACTCTACACGTAACTTACACGTTACTCGTATGGTGACACCACGGAATGCGGGCTGTACTACGAAGGCGGTGGTGGTCAAACACCTGAAGCCTTCTCATGTCTTCCACCTTCAATGGCCATGTTTTACAGCCATACAGTAGAACAGAGCGGACTGTAATGCAGTACACGCGACCCTTCATGGACAATTGGATGTCACGGCGGCGCCATAGGTGGTATAAGTTGACGAAAGCCAGTCGAACCTTTTTTATTCATGCAGAGATTTCATCGGTCACTGAGCCACAGGTGCAGGGCTGATCCTAATTCCCAGGTAAGTGCAGTGGTCGACGCACTTAATCACTAAACTCCCTATTGTTGGCCGAGACACCGTTGAAGACCAATCGTGGAGCAACAATTTGCATTTGGGTGGTGAGAAACGCATCCCAAACATTCTGAAATTGCCACTCAAGGTGTCCAGAGGACTCTGCATTTTGTCAGTGTCTTCACCCAACAGGATTATGTGAATTGCGTATTGTTGGCCTATAAGGTCGACCTCTGTGTAATCAGTTTACGGGAGGGAGACCTCCATAAGAATATCTATGATAAAATTGAATAAGAATGAAGTGTGGAGAGAAGAATTGGAGTATGGAGAGAGGAGTGTGCGGTACATAGCTTACCAACATTATTGCAAACTACAAATAGTTGTCCATGTAGACAAAAACTTTTATTGTGTAGTAACTGTTAGGGATGCCTGTATCGCTTATATTCCATACTCACAGCTTGTTACTTCGCACTGTTTATCCCCAGTATGGGTCATATTCCATATGACTCGGTAGCGTTCTGATTGGCTTCTGCCTCTTTAGATGTACTAATTACTCCTTGCTTTTCAAGGGTCCATTTTCACCAGTAAATATTTTCAGTTCTAGATACTACAAGCTCATCTGATTTCTAGTCTTTTGATATCACTTCGTGAATCACTCGGGTTAGATCGTCTCAACCCTCGGCTATCAATAGTTGAGTATTTTCGTTCATTCTCACAACTTTACATCATAACAATAACCTGTCTTAGAAGATTTTTATCCAAAATGCTTTCTCCAGTGTTATTATTATTTACTATTATTATTTTTCCCTTGGGTTCCTAGTGGAACATACAGCTTCAGTAGCACGCCTCCATTGCACTCTGTTCTCTGCAGTCTTTTGGACCTGGCACCACGACTGCCTACAAGCTTTCATTTCTTCCTCACATGATCTCCTCCATGTCACCCTCGCCTCGGACGCTCACCCAGTCGTTTCCCATTTGGATTCCACTTGACGGCCCGGCTTGGCCCGTGATGTCCGCAATCGGCCTTCTCAGTGTATGCCCAATCCATCTCCACTCTCTTCTGCATATTTGTTAGGCGATAGGTTCTTGGTTCGTCGCTAGGCCAGAGTTCCTCCTTGCTTATTCTTTCTAGCCATCTAATCTGAACTTCAGTATCGAGTAGGTGTAAGCGGCAGCTGTTGGTGAGTGTCTGTAGTTTGTTGGAAGTGCTTTTCGTGACACGCCAAGTTTCTGAACCGCATAGAAGCACTGACCTGACACTGATGTTGAAAATCCGGATGTTGTTCTTTGTGCGGAGTGCAGTAGATCTACACATTAATTTCAGATTAATGAAAGTCTGTCTTGTTGTGTTTCCGATTGTGGCTTGCACTGACATCCTGAAGTGTACTTGTGCCGCCGTCTGTATTTGAAATGATGCTTCCTCTTAGGTAGGTAGGTGAAAAAGACTACTTCCTTTAGGTTTCTCCCGTTGATGGTGATTGGTGCTTGTTGTTGGTACTGTTGTTGTTTGGGTATCCTCATCAACTCCATCTTCTCTACATTCACTTGAAGTCCCGTCCTAGCTGCCTCTTCTGTCAACTTGTTAGTTTTCTCCTGTAGATCTTCGAGTTTCTGCAACATTAGACATAAATCATCATCGGCGAAATTTAAATCGGTCCGGCGTATGCTCATCGTCTCGCTTCTCACGGTTTACTGTATAATCCAGTCCACTACAATCAACAAGATCATGGGTGATAGTAGGCAGCCTTTTCTTACTCCTATCTTCACTTCAAAGGCGTCACTGAGCTTTCCATTGTAGATCATTTGGTATGTGGCGTCTTCATATAGCTGCTGTTGAGTGAGATCAGTGTTATAGAACGACGGTTTTCTTTCCTGTCTCAGATATTTTCCAGCTTGAAAGTATCAAAACCTCTGTAGGCATCATAGAAATCCGATTTAATTACCATAAAATTTGGTTCAATTTTTAACGCTGAATTCAAGTAGACAAACTTACGTTTTGAAACGATTTATCAGAGATGAGTCACAATATTCATGAAAATTATTTGTTTAGTTTTGTAAACTCCATGTACTGATGATATAGTAACTTATCTTAATTGCATCTTCTTAGTGTCGGATTCTGATGGTGAAGAGATGCATTAATCCCAGCTGATGACATAAAAACATAATCTCTCATCGGTAGATGTAAGTTGGTTGTTAGCAGTCGTCAGCATGGTGTATCTTGAATCTCGATAGAACTGATGTTTCGCTCGAGATTCAAGCCCGCGTCACTCACTGTTACAGTCAACGACGTTACCACTGAGGTATTCGGGCAGCGACTGGTCTCCTATAAGACTTAGGTCACATAAATTTCATTGTGTACTCAATTCTTGTCAACTGCTGGTTAGAAATATGCTTACAGAAAAAGAAATCTATTTTAAAGGAAAGAAAGTATATAACATAACTTAATCCAATGTAATATCTCAAACCTTTTTTCTCAAGAAATTGTATGATTCTCAACTCTGCACATTTTAATTTGGGGGGTTTGTAGCGATTTAGTGATTTTTCAAGTTGGTATTCACCATGGACTGATATCAATTGAAGGAACAATAGAAACCTGGGTGCATTGGACAGCTGTTTCGTCCTAGTATGGGGCTTCTCAGCATTGCGCACCCATGACCTTCAGGTTTTGTGGGCGGGATGTTACCATCCAGTCACTGGGACAAACCTGGTGGCCTTGATGGCCAATACTCGACGATGACATTAGGTAATGGTCATGCTATGTTGTGAACCATTGGATTTCACCGACCCAGTGGTACCATGCTGGCCACGGAACCTCAAGTTCGTGGGTTCGACCCCTGGCGTGTTCATGGGTGCGCACTGCTGAGGAGCACCGTACTAGGACAAAACAGCTGTCCAGTACTTCCAGGTTCTCAGTGTTCCCTTAACTGACCTCAGTCCATGACGTATACCAACTCGGAAAATCTCTAAGTTTCCGTGTTAGTGCATGAAATATCCATTAGTTTGTTTCAAGTACCTTAATTATAGGTAGGATATGGAAGATGTTTAAGTCTGATTATTCTAGGATATTATTAAGGCTTAATTTAGGTATCATCAGCTGGTACTTTTAAAGCTCATTCCATATTGTTTCACACTACTTTCATTTCCATTTGTTATAACTTTCTTAGAATCGAAACGGTTTTGATAAACAGTATGAAGAATATCAACATGGAATTCAACTTACTCAATGTGTGGCGAATATTTTACGAGAGAAGTAAGCACTTTAGTATTTGTATTATTATGATTATTTTTATTTATTATTTGTCCCTTGGGTTCCTAGTGGAACATGGGGCCTCAGTAGTACGTCGCCATTTCACTCTCTTCTCCACAGTCTTTTGGACCTGGCACCACGACTGCCCACAAGCTTCCGTTTCTTCCTCACACTATCTCATCCATGTCACCTTCGGACACCCAACTCGTCGTTTCCTATTTGAGTTCCACTCAACGGTCTGGCCTGGCACGTGATACCTTCAAATGGTCTTCTCAGTGTTATGTCCAATCGAATCCATCTCCCCTTTTTCTTCTTCTGCATATTTGTTGGGCGATGGAATCTTGGTTGGTTGGTTCGTTATCAGGCCATAGTTATTTGTTGCTTATTCTTTCTGACCATCTGATCTCCATCTTCAGTATGGAGCAAGCCTAGGCGGCAGCTGTTGATGTATGTATGTAGTCTGTTGGAAATGCTTTTCGTAACGTGCCAAGTCTCACAACCATCACATGGAAGCACCGACTTCACTGACATTGGTAGTGTTGAAAATCCGGATGTTGTTCATGCTTTATGCTGAGTGCAGTGCAGTAAATCTCCACACTGATTTAAGATTAATAAAGGAAGGCCTGTCTTGCTGTCTTTTCGATCCTGGCTGGCTTTGACTTTCTCATCTGTGCCTGTACCGCCACCTGTAGTTGAAACGATGCTGCCTCCCAGGTAGGTAGGTAAAAGAGATAACTTTGTTTCGATTTCTCCGGTTCATGGTGCTTGTTGTTGTTACTTGGGTATCTTCATCACCTCTGTCTTCTTCTCCACGTTCACCTGCAGGAAGTCGTGTCTTCTGCCAACTTGCTAGTTTTCGCCTGTACAGTTTGTGCGACATAAGATATTAGACATAAATCGTTATAGACGAAATCTGAATTTTCTAGGGTCTTTTCATCGGTCAAACAGCGTATGCCCATCTTCTTGCTCCTCACAATTTCTCGCATGATCCAGTCCAGTCCAGTCCAGTAGCGTAGCTTTGCGATTTGATCGACACATGATTTGTTCTTGTTGACGCCAGCCGGGGTGTTCCGGTTGTAATTTTCAATCCAGCGCATTGTTTAGTCTCTGCAGGATGATGCGGCATAATATTTTCCTTGAGGTGGACAGGAGCATGATTCTGCCCCAGTTCTTGCAAAAACTTAGGTCTCCCTTGTTTGGGAGTTTGACAAAGTAGCCCCTCTTCCACTGTGCAGCTATCTTTCCTTCCTTCCTCCCAAACCTTCTGTAGTAGTGGTGTGAGCATGTCCTCTGTTGTCTCTGCACCTGTTTTCAGTGGTTCTGGCGGGATTCCATCTGGTTCTGCTGCTTTCCCGGCTTTCAACAGCTTAATGGCGTTCAGGACTTTACTTTTACTTTTGTCGGAGGGCCCGTGTTCACTGATAGTTCTGTGGCTGCTGGTGGTATTTTTGGACTAGTTGCAGGTGATGGTGGTGGGTTGAAGTGGTCAACCCATTCTTTCTCCTCTTCAGTGACTTGGTTTCCTTCACTATCCTTCATTGTTTCATCTGTGTTGATCTCTATTTGTATTATGCTTAGTATTTGCCAGATAGACAGGCAGATTTAAACAATGTAGAACTTCGCACGCAAGTTTATCGGTCGAAGTTGGGACACTTCATAGTAGAATACAAGGAGCTTTACCAGTGTGGCTTGATCAATAACAAACTTATGATTATCATTTTAACTAGTATTTGAGATAGCAGCCGTGGTTCGGCAGACTAGTTGAAATAAAAATTTGCCCCGTGGCCACATTCGAACCAGTGACCACATAATTTCCGGCCTAATGGTCTACCGACTGAGCTTCGAGGTCCGACTACTGACTATTTCACTTCAATCACCCGACTACCATGTGAATTCGCGACGCGTTACTATCGTTTGATCGTGTTCGCACTGGCTACCCACCAGTCAGAATTTCCTATCCCAATCCAAATGCAAACGAATTAGAATGAGAGGGGGAGGATAATATCGTTTATCATTTTGACTATTATCTGAGATAGCAGCCGTAGTTTTGCAGACTAGTATTGATACTGGGTGACGATTGAAGGTGAAATAAAAATCTGATCAGCAGTTGAACCTCGTAGCTTAGTTCAGTTGGTAAAGCATCAGGCCGAATACCTGGTGGTCGGTGGTTCGAATCCGGCCGCGGTTTAAATTTTCATTTCACCTTCAATCATCATCTAGTATAAACTTATGATTGGCTGATAAGTTTATTCTAGTGGAATTTCATGTGTGTTAGAACGAAAGGAGAAACTGATGAGTAATGAATACACCTCATGGTAACCATATTGAAACCGTCATAATAAACCAAACATTTTTGTATTGATGTAATGCTTACAGTCTACAAATGCCAAAGCTTAAGAACAATCAACCTAGAGAAACTAGATGCATTTCTAGCATGTTTTAACTGTTCAGTCGCAAATGGTGATCACTAGACCTCCAGTTCAAGTGACATCTGAACCCTAAAAGTTTAGAAAAAGGAAGCTTATTGAGTTTTATCAACAAGGCAACACTACAAATGAGGTTTATTACCAGAATAATACCAATCAATATGTTGATCGTCTGTGGCGGTTCTGTGTGTAGGTAAAATGGTTGAATCAGTTACAAGGAAGAGCAATGCGATTCAATAGTGAAAATTACTAGTTCATTACCAATCTAACCAGCAGACTGTTATGATTTGGAAAACTGCTATGTGCTGTGACGGCTAACAATGCACGGATATCGAGTTTCAGCCAGCAACGTTCAACAAATTCCTAGTTAATTCTCGACTCGATTGACTAATGGAGAGGACACAATGGACGCGTAGAAATGTGTACTACGGTAAAAAGACCGAAGGCCAAAAACAAAGAAAAATACAGCCAGTATATATAAATAGTTCGCTGTTTAAAATAATAATATTGATTGGCTAATTCAGCTAACAGAAGTTGGAAATATGGAGCATTGGATTCTGACCCAGTGGCTCAGCGGTAACGCGCTGGCCGCGGGTTCGATCCCTGCTGGTGGGGTCGTGGGTGCGCACTGCTGAGGAGTCCCATACTAGGACGAAACAGCTGTCCAGTGCTCCCAGGTTTCCTTTGTTCCTCCAACTGATGTCAGTCTACAATGAATAACAACCTGAAATGATTCATACTCTGTCTGTCTATCTAACTATAGACTTGATAACATAAACTGCATTTTGATTGGTTCATTTCTGGACTAGTCTTTCCCGCCTATGTATTTTTGAGATGAGTGGGAATTTTTAATTTAGAAGTAGTATTCATCATGGACTGACATTAATTGGGGAACCAATGAAAATCTGGGAGCACTGGACACCTGTTTCGTCCGACTAGTACGGAACTCCTCAGCAGTACGCACTCACGACCCAGCTACGGACCGAACTCAGGACCTTCAGGTTTCACGGCGAACGCGTTAACCATTCAGCCACTCGGTCAGTCGGTTTCCAGTGGTTGACAATTTCCAACTTCTGTCAATTCATAACATAGCGTGACTGTCACCCAAGGTCTTCAGTTAGAATCCACTTCACTTCACTTCTATAGTGCTCATTAGTGACTTGCTTCCAGATGGATATCAGGAAGTTCTAATCAGAAGCCGTGACCTGTGGGGTCAACCAGTCGGAAGTGAAGCGGATGCTAACTGAAGACCTTGGGTGACAGTCACGCTATGTTATGAATTGACAGAAGTTGGAAATTGTCAACCGCTGGAAACCGATTGACCGAGTGGCTGAATGGTTAACGCGTTCGCCGTGAAACCTGAAGGTCCTGAGTTCGGTCTGTAGCCGGGTTGTGGGTGTGAACTGCTGAAGAGTCCCGTACTAGGACGAAACAGGTGTCCAGTGCTCCCAGATTCTCAATGGTTCCCCAACTAATGTCAGTCCATGATGAATACTATTTCCTATCTATCCGCATATCACAGACTAGCCAAATGACCAAAACCAATCCATCCACATAATCAGTTTGAGCAACTAGAACAGTCCATCGAAATGGCTGTTACGATTGGTATAAATATTAAGAGAATGACGAATATTTGGCGCTTGAACACTGCAATGACTCGAAGTACTCGAATTGATAAGCCCAGTGTTGGTGTTTCTCCTCGAAATAGACCTTAGATCCTTGAAAATACAAGCCGTAAGTTTATTCGGTTAAAGATGTGCCCATGACAGAAAGCTTCCTAGTGAGTTTGGTGACCAAATCTTCAACATTAGATTACTGAGTTACCTTTCAGAAGACAAAGTCAGTTATAGTCATCATGTAGATACATGTCGTGTACGCCACAGAGCAATAGGTTCATTGGTCAGCAAGGTTCGCTTCACTGTCAAGTTAGATTACAAGTGTTTATCTCCAACATTTGCACAAAGAAATATGTTGAGTTTAGGAGATTGTTTAACCTTTCAGAGGAGAGTGTTCTCACTTCAAATCACGTTTTATGACGTTGTATTCAACATTGTATTTGTCGTACATCAATGCAAATATCTACTACTAAAAACATGTCAATTTGCCTTCAAAGAGAATTTGGTGCTAGATGGTACCATATAACTAGCTTGGGAAGTGTGATTTCTGAAAGTGGAGTTTTGGTCACAACTTCAGCAAGCGCTTTTAGATATGACGTGCAAAGATTATGCCTATTAGAAGCGTGGATGTTAGATACATAGGTCACATCGATAATTGTGACAAGAGTTTATTGCATCATTGTCGTCAGATGTTGATGACTATTTTCATGCCCCCAAAAAACTGTATTTGTAACACTAAACCACTCCTCGTTCACTCTGCTTGTCCAATTAACGTATTCTCTGTGGTTTTTATAAGTTTTATTCAGTCTGCCCTCTTGCACTTGTGACCTTCATTCTGATTGGCTGTCTTAGCCTATCTGATTGATTTTGTGCATTATATTATTATTATTATTGTTATTTGTCCCTTGGGTTCCTAATGGAACATAGGGCTTCAGTAGCACGTCTCCAATGCGCCCTGCCCTCTGAAACCTTTTGAACCTGGCTCCACGACAGCCCAGAAGCTCTCATTTCCTCTTCGCACGATCTCCTCCGTGTCACTCTCGGACACCCGACTCGTCGCTTCCCATCGGGGTTCCACTCGAGGGCTTGACGCATAATGTCCCCAATCGGCCTTCTCAGTGTATGCCCAATCCATCCCCATTTCCTTCCAGTGCATATTTGTTGGATGATAGGTTCTTGGTTGGTTCGTTCCGAGCCAGAGTTCCTCTTTGCTTATTCTTTCTGGTCATCTGATCTTCAGTAACGAGCCAGCGTAGGCGGCAGTTGTTGATGAATGTCTGTAGTTTATTGGAAATGCCTTTGGTAACGCGCCAAGTCTCTGAACCATACAGGAGCACTGACTTGACTGAATTGGTGTTGAAAATCCGGATGTTGTTCCACATGCTGAGTGGAGTGCAGAAGATCTCCACAGTGGTTTCAGGATAATGAATGCCTGTCTTGCTTTTTCGATCCTGGCTCTAATGTCCTCGTCTGTGCCACCTGTAGTTGAAACAGTGATGCTTAGATAGGTGAAGAAGGCTACTTCCTTTAAGTTTCTCCTGTTGATGGTGATTGGGGGTTTTGTTGTTGTTCATCACCTCTGTCTTCTCTATATTCACTTGAAGTCCCGTCTTCGCTGCCTCTTCTTTCAACTTGTTAGTTTTCGCCTGTAGATCTTCAAGTTTGTGTGACATCAGGCACAAGTCATTGGCGAAATCCAAGTCTTCTAGGTTCTTTTCCGCAGTCCAGCGTATCCTTCTCTTCTCGCTCCCCACTGTTTGCTACATGATCCAGTCGACCGCAATCAGGAATATCATGGGGGATAGTAGGCAACCTTGTTTCACTCCTGTCTTCACTTCAAAAGAAAGCATCACTGAGCTTCCCATTGTGGATTACTTGTCATGTGGTGTCTTCATATAGTTGTTGAATGAGGCGGATAAAGGTTTGCGGTATTCCATAGTATTGAAGCAGTTTCCAAATTACCTGTTGGTCGACGCTGTCATAGGCGTTCTCAAAGTCGATAAAGTTGAGGTAGAGAATTGACGATTTTGTGCATGGACTAATATTACTAGTCATTTGATTGGCTTGGTTGTTATTGTTAGTGGTGGGATGGATTCCCAGTTTTAACTATACATTATTTGTAGATTACTCAGTTAAATTATTTTTTTTTCTATGATTGTTTAAGTGCTGTTTACTAACTACTTTCATTATAATATGACAGTAGTATTCAAGGAGATGAGTTGTTATACTGTTTTCTTCTTACTTCTTATCTTCGTCTATACAGATGTGAACTTCAATCAGATTATTCACGAGGTTTATCAAAATTAAGTGATCGTTTACGTGATGCTTTAGCAGGAACAACTGATGGGTAAGTTTTCTAGTTGAATTATTTTAATATACATATTTCCCAATGAATGTAAATTGGCATCAATGATTTAGTGGACAAACGCTCTGGTGTTTAAAGCGAAACGTACTTGGTTCGAGCCTTAGTGGAAACAACATCACTTTGTACTGGGATGCAGGTACATCTAGCTGACTAATGAGTCCTAAATAGGACTAAACGCGCGTCCTGGACTCCTCTGCTAATCACCAAGATTAATATACAACAAAGTAAATTTGTTTCAACTGACTGACTAAGATATATTGATTAAACATTCGTAATTTCAAAATGTGACTTATACCAGACATTCTTAGATCAGGTGAACTTTAGATCTCTCAGTATGAAGTTCAGCTCCGAGGTAGAAACGCATAATGGGGAACTACCTTTCTTTGATTGTTTCTTGTTAAGCGGAAACAAAATGGACATTCAGATATCAGGATTTTCAGGAAAGCAACACATTCGAATAAATATTTAGGCTTCAATTCATCAAATCCAATCAGCAGTGTTAAAGTTTCTGTTGCTGCCTCCAGTCTATTAAAGAGAGCAAACCCTAATCGTAAAACTACTCCTCAATCATGGGCCTAAACAATAGTTATCCGGTACAGATCACACACACACATCGGATGAAGTTAGGAGAGTGCTCAATATATTCAATATCATCAGAGTGTTCTACAGGACATGAAATTGATTGTACAGCATCTTATTTCATTCGAAGGATGACATCCCTCTAGATTCACAATCTAATCGTGGTGCAGTATATACATAGGAAAGACTTCCTGTGAAATCGACATTGGAAAAAAATGAACACCGAAGGTGAAAGAAAAATTTGAACGGCGACCGGATTTGAACCACGGACTACCGAGTTTTGTGACTCGACGCTCTACCATAATGAGCTATGAAGTACGGCAGCAGTCCATTTGAACCTCATAGCTCAGTTGGTAGAACACCGGGCTGGAAACTCGGTGGCTGATGGTTCGAACCCGGCTGCTGTCCAAATTTTCATTTCACTTTCAATCATCACCCAAGTATCAATATCGAAATTATTCAAAAAGGCCTTAGAGGCTATAAATAACGTCTCATCGTAGAATCTCTTCACATTAGAATGAATCAAAATTGTCTAAATAGGAGGGAATGAGGGAGTAAAACGTAGTTTGACCTGTCAACCCATTCTCACATACTGATGTAACTAACTATCAGTCAACACACATGTGGACATACAAATCTTCCTCTGTAATTCATACACTCTCTGTCCACACACACACACAATGTGTTACATATGGATATCATTTTTATTCTGCAATTCCGGCAACGCAGAATCATTCATACTGAAAGACACTTATCAAGTTGTCATTTGTAATAGTTACTAGTTATTACTCACATATGTAATGACGTACAGTTTGCAGAAATAGGGACGGTAGTTGTGAAATAGTAACTCCTAGAATACACTTTCAGCGCTCTGTCAATTAGACTAGATGTTATATAGCCTAATTGATAGATCACTGAAGGTGTATTCTAGGAGTTACTATTTTACAACTACCACCCTTATTTCTGCAAAGCTTACTTCATTATATATGTGAGTAATGACTAGTAACTATTATAAATGATAACTTGATAAGTGTCTTTTTGTTGGCTGAAGTAGGTTCAGGCTAGAAAAAGGTTGAAATCGGCTAGACTAAAACATGGCATCAATGTATGAAGTTGTTGACTGTTGGTTTGTGGCACATTTAGTGATGCAGACTAGCTGGTTGGAGTCGGTGGGACAAGAGAAACCAGTGGTTGGAGACTGACTCTAGGTGATATATGGCTGAGAACCGATGTCGGTGGCGCAGATGTATCCCCACACACATTATCCTCATATTAACGCTCTACTGAATATCACCATTTTGTCATTCTTCCTTCCTCTCTTTCAGTACTTTATACTTTTTTTGACTGAATTTTCATATCTTCATCTTCCACTTTACTGCCTTTTTATTTGATGTACTGATATGAGGTGTCGTGGCAACTCGGACTGTCATGCAGTAATCCCTGGTCCCATGTTGGTTTGGATGGATGGACATAAATGAATCCTTATCTCTAAATTTCGCCTTCCTACATCCTGATTGTTCTGTACAAATTGATTTCACTGTACAACTAACTGATTACTATTCCATCTGGGGAGAAAAACTACATCCAGTTAGTATTGAAGCTTGTGGGGATTTTATTGATTTCAGGTTGGTATTCATCATGGACAGGTGGGGTCATGGGTGCGCACTGCTGAAGAATCCCCTACTGATGAGACGTAACAGTTGTTCAGTGCTCCCAGGTTTCCAATTGATGTCAGTTGATGATGTACATCGATTTCATTTGATCTCCTCCACTCACCCATCACAATACCTATTTCCATGTTTAAGTATTCTGAGGTTATCTCTGGGCCTCAACAGAACTCGAATAAGAGACCTTCAGGTTACCAGACCGTTGATCTACCACAAATAAGCCATGCAATCCAACTGCTGACCAGATTTTAATTTCACTGACCTAATGGATCAATGGTAACCTGCTGGCCACGAAGCCTAAAGGCCTTGAATTCGATCTCTGGAGGGTAGAGTTATCGGTGTCCACTGCTGAGTAGCCCCACACTGGTGAGTCGAAACAGTTATCCAGTGCTCTTAAGTTTCTAATCTTCTTCCAACTGATGTCATTCTGCGATGAATACTAATTTGAAAAAGGTTGGATAATGGATGGAAAGGAGACGAACTCACCTCTTTTTGTACGACGTTCTTCCTCCACATCTTTAGCCAATAAATCTTAAGACTTATCTTAACGACACTATACCGAATGTCACCATTTTGTCATCCTTTTTTCATCTCTTTTATTATTCTATATTTCTTTTGACTGAATTTTCTTATCTTCATCTTCCACTTTACTACCTTTTTACTTGATGCAGTGATATGAGGTGTGGCAAGTTGTACCGTTACATAGTAATGCTTGGTCCTATGTTGATTTGGATGGATATGTAACATCTATCAAGGCTTTAGAAATTATAATGGATAGTGGTTATCAGTGAAATCTAGGATGATTGTTTTCTCTTATTTGGGAGTCGTCAGTTTGGACGTAAATATGTCTCAGTGAATGATGTGGTTCCCTCTGAGACTTGAAGACTTATCGCTTCAAACACCTGGGTATCATCACCGTAGTGAGTCCTTGTGAGGCGAGTATAGTTTTAGCGCTTCGGCTAGTCATAGCGATGAGTTTTGGAGTCTAGTTTCCAGGAGAACATAGCCACTCCCTGGGAGACATTTAGATTTAGCTGACGAGTCCCAAATAAGACGAAACGTGTATGTTGGATTCCATTCCTAGTCACTGTTCATCATTACTACAAGAACTGAAATTACTGACATTCTGGAGGCATCGGTTAGTTCAACAAAAGGAAGTGATAAGCTATAATACTCATGAGAAAGAAGCCTAGCTTTGCCTAGGTTCTTTTGTCTTCTTGAACTCGTCAGAAAGGTGAGTTTGGACCCTTGAGGAATTGATTTACTCTCTGAGGTTCTAACCCATGTCACTCAAAGGTGAAGTCAATGAATGAGCCATTCGTGCCGCTATTATTGATCTCCTTTAGGACTTGGTTAGATACCTTGATTGATTCTTGCAGAGTAAACATCTTCTATATAGCCCTAAATGCTGACTGACTATCAATCGCTTTTGCAGTGTCACCAACAAGGTAGAAAGCTCACCATTGCCAAATGAAATGAAATTAGTTGCTTGCTGGCAACTGATTCTATAGTACGTCAATCACGGTCTGTATAGCTATGGTGGTAACGTCACTGACTACAACAATGGTCGACTAGAGCTCCAATCTCAAAGGGGACACCAATTTCCTCAGGGTTAAAGATACACTAATAAACACAAAGCTGAGTTTCAAAGCTTCCCACCGACCGTTCTCAATCAACTAACATCCATCAAAGTGCACCGCAACGGTGAAACTTCTAGCTTAATGACCATAATACAAAATCGTGGATAGCATTCGGTCTGCACTTAAGACTAGACAACTCGACATTGGTTGCTCTTCGAAAACCAATTAATGTCGAAGTTGACTTGAATATACTTTTAGCGAGTAACTTGACTTTGATGTTATCACTTGTATTATCCCTTCGTTGGTCAGTCTTCATTGGCATATGGGCTGCTACGCGTACACCTCAATATTGCTTATGTTTCAGTTATATACTAGTGATGGATAGCGGCTAACAGTAGATGGATGTGACAGAATTAGAACTATACCGGTCGCATAGGAAGTAGAAATTGGTCCGGGGTCTGAATCCTAATGAAAACAACATCTCTCATTGGGAGACATGAGATGACACACGCATCAAGAGGGATTCCATTATTAGCTACTATTCATCATCAATATATAACTTGACCTTGTTTTGCAACAGCGTTGAAGTCGACTGCGTATTCTTGTTAAAGTAATTTACATTTAGCCTCCTTGTCCAAAAAGCATGAGACCAAATATTCAAGATATTTGAATATTTAGAGAGTTCGAGTTAGAGCGGCGATATGCCCATTTAGGAGGAAGCCGGTGAAGAATAAGCACTCATTCCCCTATCAATGTCTATTCTGTGTTGCGTTCACCGAAGGCATTCTAAATTCTTTCCGTGGCATAATAGATAACGGCTTGGCGTTTGAAGCGATGAATACGAGGTTCGAGTCTCAATGAAAACAACGTCACTCCGCACTGGGGTGCAGGTACATCCAGCTGACGATTGAGTCCTGTATAGTATGAAACACGCGTCCTAAATTCCTAGTCACAACCAACCAAATTACCATAATTGACATTCAGGCAATATCGAGGCATCTGCATAGGAGCCGATATGCTAATAGAGGTCGAACAACTGGATTCAATAAAACAAGGGAGAATTACAAGTATATCGACCAGTAGTAATAACTACTACCCATTGTAAAAGAAATGGCTATTTTTGTGTTGAGTGTTAACCAAATGTTGTTGGCTGAAACTTTCATTGTATCTTGATTCATTCCTACTGGAGAATGTTAATAGGTGTTCATGTGGATAGTGAAGAATCTACAGTTGTCTACAGTTTATATACCAACTTCTACATAAGGTGGTGAATTGAAATATGCATAATGGAGTGGCTATGAATGATGATTTAGAGTTTATCTAAGTGTTCATCGTTTGATTAGTGGGATAAGTGATATGAACAGTAGTGGTATGGAATGATCCTCTTGACAGAATTCATCGCTTAACTTTTTTCGAATTTCTTTTATTGATCTCTTGAGTTTCTTTTTTATCCTCAGAAAAGAACCTTCTTCGTTCAAATGAAGAGACAGAAGACAGATTCGACGGAAAGAGTGTATCCTGTCAACAATTGAAACGGTAGTCGTTACACATGGTTCACCTTGCATTAAATCCGTCATTTGCAAAATGTGCTTCGTTTCCTCTTCTGTTTCTTTCTTGATTTACTCTTTATACATTCATATCAGCAGCATCCATTGTAATACACCTGCGTTATCCCTTACGTTGCTCTTGGCAGAATCCTTACCTATTGGTAGTAATTCCCTTTGATTCCTGACACCCTCTCAACATATACTACCTATATCCATTGTTATCAGCAACGTCCACTACACAAATGCCTCATTTAGAATACCAGAAGGATGTAAACCGGTGAAATGAGTTTTAGTCACCTTAAAATGATGTTTGTCCCCAAGTGACTTAGAGAAATTTAAGTTTAACTGACAAGGAGGGAGGGGAAACGTGTCGAATTGCTTAAATACTGTTTAACAACAAATGTATCTACATAGATTTTGTGTTCAGTATTACTATTACTCTTTATTGATGTAGATGTAATTCTGGGTTGTTTTATTAGATGGGATTATTCGACCTCTATTGTCATATGGGCTGGTATACGGATACCTTGATATTGCCTGAATGGTAATTATAATAATTTGGTTGGTTATGACTAGCAAAGGAATTTAGGACGCGTGTTTTGTCCTATTCGGGACTCACTTGTCAGCTGGATGTACCTGCATCCCAGTGCGGAGTGATGTTGTTTTCATTGATACTCGAACCTCGTATTCATCGTTTCAAACATCAAGGCGTTATTCACTATGCCAAAGAGGAACGATAGCCACATCTTGTACAACGGTTAGTAGGCATTACTATATATATATATATATATATATATATATATATATATATATATATGTATATATATATATATATATATATATATATGTATATATATATATATATATATATATATAACTCTGCGTTGTTTTATTGGATCAAATTGTTCGACCTCTGTTGACATATGGGCTGGTATGCGGATACCTCGTTATTACCTGAATGTCAATTATGGATTGAATAAAACAGCGGAGAATTGCAAGTAATAATAATAATATTAATAATAACCACTGTCCGTTGTACAAGAGATGGCTATCGTTTCTCCGTAGGATAATGGATAACTCCTTGGTGTTTGAAGTGATTGGTATGAGATATGAGTTTCATTGAGAACAACATCCAGTGGAGTGCATGTACATCCAACTGACTAGACATAAATGGAACTAAACGCGATTGAATTTCTCTACTAGCCTCTACCAGCCACACTTTAACACCTTTGTTTAACACACTTTCTGATTGTTCTATATTCTTGTTATTAAAGTGAATTGTTTTTTTTTTGTGTGTTAAATTATTCATTTTATATATTTTTATTAAAATAAATTCTTAGAACTGTTCACACTGCTTGGTTGAGAATAGCTACAACAGTTGAAATGGAATCGAAACTAAATGAAAAGTTTGCTGAAAATCTATTGAACAATTTAATTCAGCCATTGAATGATTTAATTGTAACATTTAAACAAAATCAAAAACCTGTAAGTATTTCTTGTTCACTTTCTTTTTTTTATCTCTGTTATAATATGTATAAGAAGTACTTATAGTAATGATCAGCAGTGGCTAGCAGTGGAATCCAAGGTGCCTGGATCCCAGTGGGAACAACATCACTCACTGGGAAGCAGGTACATCCATCTGACGAGTCCTAAATAGGATGAAATGCGCATCCTTTATTCCACTGTTAGCCACTGCCCATCATTATCATACATAATTAAAAACACAGGTAATATCGAGGCATCTATACAGGAGCCCATATACCAACAGAGACTGATCAATTCGCTCCAATCAACGACGGTGTAATACACTATAGGAATTACTTTTATACAAAGTTGATATATACGTTAATATACTTTGCTGTCTTATTTTATCATTGTTTCAAGGGGTTATTCATCATGGAAAATGATAATAGTTGAAGTGTTGAAAACATGAGAGTAGTGAGTAGTGCACATCTATGACCTTCAGAATTTGAGGTGAACATGTTACCCTTGAACTAGCCAATGATTTGTTCGGAATCCAAAGATGATGTTGGATAAAGACCACCCTGTTGTAATGGTCAGCTTTTGATAGCTTTTCGTCTAGCCTGTAGGTAGGTACATGTGTGTGATTTTGGCGGTGACCACGAGAATCAGTAAGCGAAAAGATGAAGAGAAAAGTGAGCCGACGACTCAGCCAGTACACAGAATTTACTTACATTTGATAGTAAAAGATAACTGATGAATGGAAGAGCTCAATAACGAAGAAGTGAGAGTCTTGGAATCGAAACTGCAAGATGAATGAGTAAGATTTCGAATGCGTTTCATTACGTGGCCCATCGACAGAGTTAGGGAAGTATGGACCGTTAGATTTTTATCCAATGGCGCAATGGTAACGTTCACGACGGCGTGTACTGCACAGTAGTCCGCTCTGTTCTACTCTATGACTGTAAAACATGGCCATTCAAGGTGGAAGACATGAGAAGGATTCAGGTGTTTGACCACCGTTGCCTCCGTAGTACTGCCCATATTCCGTGGTGTCACCACATCATGTGAGTAACGCAGAAGTCAGATGTAGAGTTTTAGGGAGAAGAGGTGAGTCAGTTGACATGGTTATGAACCTTGATCGACTGAGATGGCTGGCTGGTTGGCTGGGACATGTGTTACGTATGCCTAGTCGCCATCTGCCTCGTCACACAATGTTGGCGGAAGTAGGTTCAGACTGGAGAAAGGCTCTTCGCTCTCGGCCAGACTAAAACATGGAATCAGTGTATGAAGCGTTTGACTGTTGGTTTGTGACATATCGGACGATGCAGACTAGCTGGTCGGGTTCCGCAAGACAAGAGAAACCAGTGGCTCGTGACTCTAGGTGATATGACTGAGAACCCGATGTCGGTGGCGCAGATGTACCCCCATACATATTGTCCTCATCTTAACGACGCCGTACCGAATCTCACTATTTCCTTATTCTTCCTTTCTCTCCTTTAGTACTTTGTATTTCTTTTTATTGAGTTTTCTTATCTTCATCTTCCATTTTACTGCCTTTTTACTCGATCTACTGACTCGAGCTGTGGAAACTATGGCCATTACGTAGTAATGCTTGTTCCTATGTTGATTTGGATGGCTGGATGAATGAGAAGTCGAACATGAAGACGACATTGGATGTAAGATCGCACTGTATTATGAACGGTTAGAAGATGGAAATATTGATCGTTGGATTCCGTTGAACCAAAGGCTTATAGGTAACATACTGGCTGTGGAATCTGAAGGCCCTGAGTTCGACCCTTGAAGAATGGAGTCATGAGTTCACACTGCTCAGGAGTCTCATATTAGGACTGAACAGCTTTTTCAGTGCTTCGAAGTTTCAAGTATTTTTCCAACTGATTTCAGTCCATGGTGACTACCAACCTTAATCAGGTGTGTGTGTGGAGGGGGAGGGGGGGTAGGGTTATGAGTTCCTTCGAGGTTTCAGAGATGCATCTTCATGACGAGTGTAAACATGAATGCAAAGTAGATTTAGACCTTTTGTTGATTATCTTCAACCCACTGCCTTAACCAAAATGTATTATTATTATTATTATTATTATTATTATTATTAATGTACACATATTCCACTTCTTCACTATCTGTCATCTTTTTTTTTCTATGCATTTTTATTTTTTATAGCTAAAAAGATTGGTAGACAAAGAAACGGAGAATTTATTGTCATTTTCTGAAATGGAATCTCGTGCTAGACATAAATTATTTTCATGTTTTCATTATTATGAACGAGTGTATAACAATTGTGTGGATCGACTAAGACAACAACAACAACAACAATCTCAACAACAACATCAACAACAAATCGGAACTATTCCATCAAATACTGACAAGCGTAGTTACAGTTTGAATCGATCTAATACAACTAGTATATACACTAAATATTCTACAAGTAATAGTCTATTGGAAAACTATTCACCACTTAGAAGAAATTCATTTGAATCTCATATTCTTGGATCAGTATTTACAAAAGATTCATCTCGTTTACCATCATCTATCAACATTAATTCTAGTACTACACATCCTTCTCTCTCTAGTTTATCTCATGTTAAAAGTTCGAGTTTCTCATCAGCTGATTTGAAGTCAAATCCAATTCAACGTCATAATAGTTTATCGTCTACGGATACAAATGTAAAGAAGCTTATGACATTGGATAAGGTGTGGAAATTTTCAGAACACTACTATATATTCTTTAGTTTTCGCTGTTGTTGTTGTTGTTGTTATAAACACCTTTTAAATACTAATAATGAATATTTCAGGTTGTTATTCATCAAAGACTGATATCAGTTGAAGGAAGAAAGGAAATATGGGAGCACTGGACAACTGTTTCATCCTAGTATGGGATTTCTCAGTAATGCTCACCCACTGATATCAGTCTACGATGAATAACTAACTTTGCCTTATTTCTGAATCTCTACAACTCCCTGAAAAAATTCAATTGATAATGAATTGTGTGTTTCGTCTTGCTTGGGACTCATCAGTTTGGTTTTTTAATATCTCTTTATGAGTGATGTTCATCCTACTGGTAGCCGCTTTCCATTATTACCATCAGACTGAAACTATCAGCGATAATTAGATATCGGTACATGAACTCGTATGTTAATAGTAGTCCATCGATACGGTTCAGTCACCCACCACTTTGAAATTTCAAGCTGTTTGTATCAAGTTTTAGGTAATGTATCTTGCTATCTTGGGTATTCAAAAGTTCGTTCGTTCAGAAACCATTTATCGTTTTTGCATACATGTACAACACTAGATAGCTATCACAGAGTGACTTAATCAGCTCAAGTTTACTTCGGTTTTTGGATAGACTTGTTGAAGAATGACTGTTCACAATATGCTTGAATTTGTAATCAGGATTAGAACGAAGTAACTATGACTCTCCTCCCAGTTACCTATGAAGAAGTTGAAGTGGCGTTGAACTTGAAAACTGTGGGGAGTTTCTCTTCTAGAAATTAGGATTCCAAACTAGTTCATTATGTCGATGGGCCTCCTCATATCCCTACCGGATTAAAACTAATACGCCATGAAGTTGATTTTGGGAAAGCTGCAGTCTATGGGATTCATATGTGACACGGGTGTTCAAAGTGTGAATGACTTTGAAAACCATCAGGATTCCGACCAATTTACTGCAATGGAATCCAGCTTCATAATTCTACGAGTCATTCTTGTCGGAGCGATCTGTAGATATTAGAGAGTAGTTCACTTTGCGAAAGCAAAGCTGTAGTTAGCTAGCTTGAGCTTGGATGTATATCAGTAACTCGAAAGGAGCCATTGCCGTGAATAGTCAACACTTTTACATTCATTGGCTAAGCTTCCCAGTAAAGGTAAGGTTGGGCTTCATTCTTTCTGCAGGGTTGCGGAAATTTCAACGAGACGTATCCCACGGTAGTTGGTTCACTAGGAGATGAGAACCGTCATTCGATCAGAGTAAACGGGGCACGTGGATGCGTTGTAGCCCAACTTTTGGGAGGATTATGATAACAATTAATCTATTTCTTAAAGTGGGGTTAACAGGATGCTTTGGCATGAGTGTTCTTTTTGATGTTTCAAAGATCTGCATTGTTTGAGTGTTTTTCTGCTGAGTGCGGGCATCGATATACCAGGTTCGCGTTGAAACATCCAAATACCTGAATACTAGTCAAGAAATGAAGTAAATCCGAAAATTGAAGTAAAACTTCGAAATAGTAAGTCGAAAGAATACTCTAAGCTTAAGTATATGGTATTCATTAATCAACTCAGTGCGCATATCAGTTCTGACTTGCAGTTTTGTACCCACTTTCTGATTCGGACTTACGACAGTACGATTTATTTAGCATATTTTGATGAAAATATGCAGGAGGCATATGAATTTCAGGTGCATATTAATCAGAAAATAAGAGTTTTCCATGTTTAATTAGACTCATCATCATCAATATCAACTTACGACTAGGCATTACTGCGTAACGGTTCAAGTTGTTAAATTTCATGTCAGCATATGAAGCGAGAGACTACTAAAATGAAGGCTGTAGAAATAGAGAAGAATTTACCAAAAGTATTAAAATAAAGGGAAAGAGAAAGTGAAAATAATAGTGTATAGATGCATCTGCGCCACCGACGTCGATTTTGAGCCATATCATCTAGAGTCTTGAATTACTAGTTTCTGTTATCATATGGACCCCAACCGGCTGGTCTTTATCTCCTTCCACATGGCTCAGATCAAACTTCAAAGACTTTATGCACTTTATGCACCGTACCGAGCCTTTTTCCAGCTTGAACCTACTTCAGACAGCACTGTGCGACAAGGTAGACGGTGACTAGGCGTATGAAACATATATCCTAACCATCTCAGTCGATGAAGGTTCACAACCTCATCAACTAACTCTCCTCTCTGAAATTCTCTACCTGACTTCTGCGTTACTCACATGGTGAAACTACAACACACAGTCCATGTTATGAAGGCATCGGTAGTCAAACATCTGTCATGTCCTCCATTTTTAATGACTATGTTTTATAATCACACAGCAGAACAGAACGGACTGCAGTACAGTACACTCGAACCTTAATAGACAATCGAATATCGCGATGGTGCCACATATGGCGTAGATTGGGAAAAGCTACTTGAGGCTTTTATTATACATCTAGAGATTTGTTCAACCACTGATCCATTAGGTTTTATCCGACTTCCCAAGTCGGTGAAGTGTTCAACATACTCAACTGCTTCTCTTTTTACTGTAAACCAAGGAGGGCATCGGTATAATTGTGTTACATAACATGTAATGCATAAACACAATTGTAGTCAACACAATATATGTCTTAATCGTTTTATTCAGAAAATGTATGGACGCATTAATCAGTTATATTTTCATATTGAATCCTCTTAAGACTTTTAAATTAGACCTGTTTATGCTCTTGTGTGTGTGTGTGTGTGTGTGTGTGTCCTCGTCCGTTCAACCCTAATAGTATTGACTATACATATGAATTTCTCTAAGATTTGTATACAATTACTAATAAATTTTGATTATATGTCTTCTTATATTTTGTAATATTTTTATCAATACTTTTGCTCATAGTAGCTAAGACATTCGTATTATACAACTCTTACTGATTACTATCGAGTATGTATAACAGCTGAAGAAGCTAGAATAGACTGGCATACAAGAATGTTAAAAGTAAGTCAAATTATACTTTATAAAATGTATACAAACAGTTACAATAAACTTATATTAGCTATGGTTAATTGATTTAAAAGGTTGCCTTTTTATCAGTCATAGGTTATGGGTTCGAAACCCGTTTCTCCTGTGGATATTTACAGTAGCCAAGTAGTATCATAAATAACCCTCATATAATAGGTGTGATTCCTTATTGTCTACTACTGCACGAATGTACTCAAGGTTAATGATTATTATTCGGTGGATGATACTCACTTTTTTTTTACATACATAAATCTGTTGATTATTTTCTAGCAGTTTGTGATAAATTATGAATACACAATATTTTATATCATATTCTTAATGTTGGTTTGACTGCCTAAGATTGCCGTGGTTTAGCAAACTTGTATTATTGATACGAAGGGGACGGGGGGGGGGAGATTGAAGGTGGAATGAAGATCCGAGTCACTGTAGGATTCGAGCCAGCTGCTTCCTGGTTACCGACTTGGTGCTCTACAAATTGAACCTTAATAGTTATCATCTATCATGCCTGTGTGTGTGTGTGTGCAGTTTGTCCCCTATCTGGGCCAGCAGAAGTTACTTTTTTGTGAAAGAGAAAGAATGTTTGAACGAAATAGTCTTTTTAGACAAAGATAATGATAGAATTCACCAAAGATCAAGTGGTGATATAGCGTGAAGCCTGTGATTCTTTGACCACGTTTGTTCATACAGTCGACTTTCTGTTGACCTAACCACTGATTACAACTCATCTAAATCTATCGAGGTTTAAGTACCTGAGGGTTACCGATTAATAGACGAAGCAATTGATCTACTCGCTTCACGTTTCTATACTTGTTAAGGATGTCTAATCCCTAAAAGACTAGCTTGTGTATATATTATCATTGTAAAGTATAAACCTTACCTTCGTGCACTTTTCTCTCCATAACTTACTTTTTAACGCGTCGGTTTAAGGTACTAAATGCTGATTGGTTCATTTTTTACACTTCTAATAGGCTATTTTGTTTTCAACTGACGAAATATGCCCATCTATTCATTAACAAGAACAAGGCATGTATCAGCGAAGAAGAAACATTTCTTTTCAACGACTTCATTATCAAGCTGTACAGTCGTACTTATACTGAGTAAAATGACAGATAATTGCACTAAAAAGGGAGTTGCTCAGTTAATATGCCCACTTCTATGTGTATCTACAAGTTCACATGCTCCTGTGGAGCTGAACTATATTGGACGTTGTAAGCGGGCCCTCTGAAAACGTGTTGCTGAACACTACCTGGTTTGACTTACCAGAGGCGAGCATAGGAAAACGACTTCATCCATATGTGAACACCTTGTTAAATGTGGACACTCAGCACCTCAAGATTCATCCTTCAAAATAATTTACAAAGTTAAATTGAACTACTCCAAAGGTTTACACGCTTCCACCACTTAGCTAAAGCATTAGCTATACATGAACAAAAACCGAAACTTTGCATTCAAAAACGTTTTGTGAAACCACACTCTCTACACCTTGGCCTTGATTTCACTTCACTTCATTTTGGTATACTTCTCTTCGATTATCATCATCATCATCATTATCACCAATTTTCACTTCATTGACAATATTTGACCCACATTTCACTATTTAATATCGATTCATTCCTTATTCATTGACATATTTTGCGTGTTTCAGCTAAATTATCACCGTTTTACTATTCCCAGACAACATTTGTCGCTTATCTCACCACTTGTTTTCAATTCGCCCCTCCTTATTCAGTGACCCATTTTCTATTCCTTCCACTTGAACAAAATACCACTACCTACAGCGATTGTATATTTTGCATATTGACTGAGCAACTCCCTTTTTAGTGCAATTATCTGTCATTTTACTCAGTGTAAATACGATTGTACAGCTTGATAATGAAGTTGTTGAAAAGAAATATTTCTTTGCTGATACATGCCTTATTTTGTTTTCTCTGGTCAAGGCCATCTAAAAAGTATATAAACGACTGAATTTTCAGCTATAATCGTCTTATTTGGTTGAAGTGAAATATACTTTCAATCCCATTGTCTTTTTTACTCTTGGTGTGAACTGATTATCATGTTGCTGTGAAGACTAGTCAGAAGACTATACATATACATGCTAAAAGACCATATACATTTACAAAGGTAAAGGAAGGTTGGTTACAGTCTAGTTACAGCCTATTTATTCTAGTGAATCACCTCCTGACCAAACTACGCTTATAGTTGACAGGACATAAACTATTGTAGTGAAGGTAGTGACCAATCCACGTGTCTTTTCTGTAGATAGTTTTCTCAACTGTGTACCATCATGTCTCCATCTTATACTTAGTTCCAAAAGGGCTGAATCTGTATTCATTTTTGTATTCCATTGTAAAATTCATATCTGGATGAGCTTGGTTGAAGGTATCGACCAACTTTGATGCATGACTCATATTGTCACAAACAGTGAAAGTATCATCGACATACCTGTGGTAATATATCATTTCCTTATTCGCCTAGTGCAGACATGTTTGTTCTAGATGAGTCATGAATATATCAGCTAGGAGAGGGTTTAGTGGTGAACCCATAACCACTCCATCAGTCTGCCAGTATGCTGGATGATTAAACTGGAACTGAACACCTTTTGTACAGAGGAGCAGTAATTGTTTGAGTTCTATTTTCGGCGGCAATGGTAGTAGATCAGACTGTTGACTGATTATATCAATCGTTTCATCCACTGGTATGTTTGTAAACAACGAGGAAATATCAAATGATACCATGAATTGATCTGAGATATCTACCCACTTCTTTAGAGAATTAGAATGTATCCTTCATGTTATGATTTGAGAGCATTTTTCTAATGGGTTTCAATTTCTTTACTAACCAATAAGCCAATTTATGACAAGGTGAATTTATCATAGATAAAATAGGTCTCTTAAAGGAACACTGGATTTATGGATTTTTAGAAGACCGTACATGAAAAGTAGTCATAAACGTCTTGGTTTAAGTTCAGTATCATCATCATTATCAACATAGGACCAGGCATTACTGCGTAACGGTCCGAGTTGCCACACCTCATATCACTACATCAAGTAAAAAGGTAGTGAGGTGAAGGATGAAGATAAGTGAATGCAGTCAGAAGAAATATAAAGTACGAGAAGAAAGGAAAGAGGAGTGACAAAATAGTGAGATTCGGTATAGCGTTGTTAAGATGAGGATAATGTGTGTATACATCTGCGCCACTGACTTCGGTTCTGAGCCATATCTTTTAGGGTCTCCAACCACTGGTTCCTCTTGTCCCGTGGGCCCCAACCACCTAGTCTGCATCGTCCTACATGGCTTAAACCAACAGTCAGAGACTTCATACATTGGTGCCATGTTTTAGTCTGGACACCTCGGGCCTTTTTCCAGCCTGGACCCACCTCAGCCAACATTGTGTGACGAGGCAATCGGTGACTAGGCAAGTTCACTATGAATTACTCCATCAATCAATTGATTCTTTACAAGTTCTCTGAAGTGTTTGGTTACTTTATTTTCAATTGAAATCGTCACATTCTTCGGGGATCTGTCAACTTTAAATCTCGATGAATCCTTCAAAATCATCATGATGATGATACTAAACCCCCTTTTGCATTGTTTACATTTTTGTCAAGGGAATTAAATGTATGAAAAATTCGTAGGTTGTCTAATATAAGTTGGATGAGTTGATTGGTAACGTAGATCTTGATTTGTGTCATCATATTGAGTAATTATTGTTATTATTATGATGGTTTCTTTTTTTCAGTGTTTCAATGATCAACGTACATTAGAAAGTCAACGTCTAAATAGTTTGGCAAAGGGATTAACAGTTTATCGCAATAGCTTAGCTGATACTATACCAACATGGAAAGCTGCTATCAATGAATTAGCTGTAGGTACAGATTTCTTTGTTTCATTATCCTGTTGACTTTCCTTTTCATAATTATGAATACAACGTTTGATATTACTGAAGCGTCAAAAAAAGTAGGTTACAGTTAGTGCAATACAATGAGTTCTTGCCTAAATATATTGTCAGTGATGGTGTTCTGTGGACTCAGGTAGTTGTTGAAGGTTGCAGAAGTAGAAGGGATTGCTAACTGAAGGATGTGAACGAAGATAAGAAGGTTAGGATGAAAGAGGTGAATAGTGGTCTGGGGGGGGGAATTTGAGCGCTGACAGAGCTGTGAGGGCGATTGACACTTCCCGGCTGCCCACATCGTGGAAGTCTAGGCTTTCTTGAGGTATCTGAAAAGGAAGGGTTAGTGCGTGATCGCAGAGCTTTTTTGATGTATGTATTATGGAAGATGTGGTCGGACATACGTGCTGTGGTTGTGGATCACTATAAACCACTGGCTGGTCTAAGCCATCATAATGTATCGTTTCATTCTTTAGGAACATGTTAAGGGTAAGGGTAACTGCTTTTTGTCTAATCACTATCCAATAGACCTTTCTGTTATGGTAGGACCTCGGGAGAACAAGCGTCCCACCAGCATAGTTCGTCGGGTTGTCGTGATATTGCAAGCCCGACCACCATGTCAAGGTAGCAGCTATTGTTTTGATTAACTGGACAGTGACACTTATCCTCTCTTTTCACAGTTACAATATGGTCACACAAGTGAATCATAACCTTAGTTAAATTTCATTCTCTTGTCAATATCATTATGCAATTTAGAGAGCTGTGGGGTTTAATTGATTTCAATTCGCTATTCATCATAGACTGACATCAGTTGGAGAACCATGGAAAACTTGAAGGTACTAGGTTCGATCCCTTTAGGGCACGATCATGGGAGCACAATGACTGAAGGGTCCCGTAGTAGGATGAAACACATGTCCAGTGTTTCCAGGTTTTCAATTCTTCTCTAACTAATGTCAGTCCGTGATGAGTGCTAACTTGAAAGATCGCTAAATCCTTGCAAATCCTCAAATTCAATTGATCTAGTGCTCATTGGTGATTAGCTTCTAGAGGTGATTCCTGAAGTTAAAATGAGAAGTCGTTGACTAGTGGGGAAAACCTGGTGACCGTAGGAATAAATACTCAACGATGACATTAAGTGATGGTCGCACTATATCATGAACTGAGAGAAGTTAGAAGTATTGACCATTAGATTCTCCCGACGCAGTTGCTCGATGGTAACGTGCTTGCCACAGAACCTGAGTCTTAGTTGGCATATCCAGCTGACAAGTCTCAGGTATGACGAAATGTGCACGCTAAATTCCCCTGTTAGCCACTATCTATAATTATTGTTACATATTGTCTGCAAATATTCCTAGATATCTATCGTCCAGCTGAAACACTTGCCGTTAGACGTGATAGACTTTCTTCTCCGAAACTGTAAATAGTCTACGAAGAGGTTAAAGGATGATATTAGGAACCTTTTAATATATAGCAAGCAGGCCAATAATAGTCAACCAAAACATCTGTCCACTAAATCCAGTCATTCATACGTAAGCCTACCAACATTATCTTACCTAGTTCTAGATGTGTAGATAGGATGTCAGGCATTTCAGCTAGCAAGTGTGCTGGTATTATGTTATCCATTCACAAACCTTTCGAATGGTTCCTTTTCCGAGAATGAGGTAACAACTGGCTGTAATGCAATTCAGTTAACTTTTGAACCCAATTCTATACCTTCTGGAACGATTGTGAACTTACAACCGACTTGAACCCCTCTGGAGGTGCGACACCATTGGTTTGGGGAGGTGACTTTTAACTAGTGGGTCACGAGTTCGAATATATCTGTGATTGATTTTCAGCCATGTCACCAAGAGTCCGCAATCATTGGTTTCTTATCATCTTGAGGACCTCAACTGGATGGTCTAAATGGCTCAGACCAAGATGCAGAGACTTCATGAAGTGATAACTCATTTCTGTCTGGTCACCCTGAACCTACTTCCAGCCCAATCCTACTTCGACTTGGCATGCATAACACATCTTGCAAGGTCAGTCGATGTGAGTGTTTCACTAGAATATTTTCTTCAAATGCTATAGGTTTTCTTTGTAACTAATGTGCAGACTCTTTGTGTAGATAGATACATATATTTCGCCATGCATGTAATATAGGATCTGCTGAAACTTTGGTTCATCAGTTACGGCGTTCGACTTCTAATCTCTGGATCATGAGTTGGAATTTCATCGGACCTACTGAGGTTCAGGTAATCCTTCACGCCATAGGTGTACTTCATAGTCTTTACTGCCTAAAACTTTACATGAGTAGGACGCAATGCGTATTCTTCATTGGAATTCGAGTTTCTTCAAACCAATAAATTTTCTTTTCTGTTACTAATTATCACTACTCACCGTTAGAAAATAATGACTGGTCCAACTTCTCGTTGCCTTCCGATCCATTTGTGGTGTCGGCGACCTATCCAATTATCTGTTAATCGATGAGTTTACTGCGCTGCAGTTCGTTCTGTCCTATTGTATGGCTGAGGGACCTGACCGTTGAAAGTAGAAGACATGAAGCGATTGTAAGTCTTGGACTATAAGTATCTTCGTGGCATTGTTCGCATCTGATGGAATCACTTGTATGGACAATGTTGAGATCAGGTGAAGGATACTAGGGAGGGAAGACCGATCGATTGATGAGACTGTAAACCCCAGTCAACTGAGGTGGATTGGATACGTATTGCGCATGCTGGTCCACCGCTTGTTTAATCTGTTATTTTACCCATACAAGTGTGAATTGTTACTATGCAGAATTGACAACATTTTATGTGAAGTTTTGCGTTGACTTTCTTTTTTTCCGGTCAACATTTATTCATGTTACATTACAGACTGTAATCGAATCGTTTCAGTTTCAGTTCAATAGTAAATTCTGCTCACAATCTAGAATATTTACAATGATGGAGGATATTTATAGTTGACGAGGATAACTTCGTAGGGGTGTTGTGTTCTGTGAGATGTGATGGTTTAATTGCGAAGCTGTCATCATTGTCATTCTAGATAACATCATGATCATCATTAGGGGAAACTTTAAAAGGAAGTAACCCATCAGGTTTTCTCCCCAACTGGCTTACTAGTGTATCCTGATGATTTCTCAGGTGTGATTGGTCATCCTATGGACATGAAGTTTGACCCTATTCTTGTTTCTTATTGGTTGATAGATTGGGTCAATGCCAATAAGTTGTTGGTTGACCACTGACTGAACCTCAATCTCTTAAAGGTTATCTGGGATTATGTGTACTTCGTCTATCCAGGATTTTCACACTTTCTCTGTCAAATTCATGTTCACAGTTGTTTGTGTATGCATTATTGATACGAACGAAGATATGTTAAAACACTTCACTGCTAATTGATGTTCATATAGACGGATGCGAAGAGTGTGACCACTCTGTCCGATATGGTGTTTCTCATAGTTTCTACAGTTTATTTTGTCGATAATGTTTGGTTTGTCTTCCTTTGATATTGTATCCTTTGGGCTGGATAATAGAAACTGAAGAGATTTTATGAGGTTGTGAGTTACAGCGACCACTTTGTCTTCAACTGCATTAGGAACAACCTAAGAAAGTAGAAAATGGGCTGCGTGCAGACTCTATTCAAGAGGGCGAGAACACTGCAGTACAACAACTTCATGGAGAGACGAAGGAGATTACTTGATTTCCGTACTAGATAGGTGAGATTAGGTAGGAAACTTCATGAGAAGATAGATGTCTATTCCGTACGTCATCAACTACACAGTCCTTCATAGAAATCAACAAATGCATCATCCTACTGTACATGAAGTATATGTCAGAGATCACTGAGACGACTTGGAATTGGTTTGGCTCATAAACCAACAAATTCGCATATTATGCAGACGAAATGAGACAACAAGCAAAGGAGGCAAACCTAATATCATTTACAAAATCAACTGGAATAATTGTGATCAACACTACATTAAACAAAGTGGTCGTCCTGTTCGCCTTCTCTTACATGAACACCAACTGGCTATTAAACATCACGACATTTCCTCACTCGTCGCTCAATGTACGTGGATAACAACTATGCACATGAATTCAATTTCGACAGTGTAGAGATCTTGGATGAAGAGAGGAAACATAAAGAGTGTAGGAGAATTCCTCGAAGCTTGGCATTCAGATCGGTCAGTCAGTTAGTCAGTCAGCAATCAATGGATGTATAGATGTAGATCCAATCTATCAACCAATAAGAAAAGTGATAAACGACAAGAAAGGTCGGGGTGGGGCAGAGGAACAGCCGACAAGAAAATCTGTAGAGTCAGTCAATGATACAACAAGTTTAAATGCCAACCTGACTGGAAAAAGGCTGTTGGCTCTCGGCCAGACTGGTACATAGCATGGGATCAGTGTATGAAGTGTTTGACTGTTGGTTTTGTGGCATGTGTGGTGATGCAGACTAGCTGGTTGTTCTTTGTACATTCCTGTGAATTGTAGCAACTTGAACGGATCCACTTGTTTGCAAGATTGCATGTTGATTTGATCTGTCTGCCTCATTATCATTTGTATACATTTTATGATCTAACTATATATATTTATTTTATTGCTACTTAGAATGCTATCACTTTAGCTGATCCATCATTGGATATGCAAAATTTTCGACGTCATTCCCACCAAGACAACATTCTCAAAGTATCAAAAGACTTGAATAATCATGATCAAATGAATGATACTTTAATGAAATCAAAAATCACTCCTAATGTTGGTTATTCACTGCAACGACTTATCGATTTACCTGGTGAAAATCTACTTCGACCAAGACGACAACAGAAATCATCTGATTTATCGTCGAAATCTCGACCATTTAGCATTCTTCGAAGAAAATCACAGATAATTAGTGATAAAAGTAAAATTTTGATATGGATTATTTAATTTGTTGGAATTTATTTGTTGATTTCAGGTTGACATTTTGTCATGGACTGCTATCAGTTGGAGAAATATTGGACAGCTGTTTCACCCTCATATAAGACTCCTCAAGAGTGTGAAGTGGGAAATTTAAGTCATTGGCTTCCGACCTAGTAGTTCAATGAACACAAGCCCTGTGACAAGAGCAGAAGTCTTGAATGCCATAATGTTACTGAAAGCTAGGAAAGCAGTAGGACCAGATGGAATTCCTCCAAAAGCAATGAAAACAGACGCAGAGACAACAGTGGAAGCACCACCACTACCGCAGAAGGTTTTAGAGGAAGGAAGGAAAAGTACCTGCCGATTGGAAGAAGGGCCAACTCATCAAACTCCCAAAGAAAGGTGGCCTAAGTCTTTGCAAGAACTAGCGTGGAATCATTCTGCTGTCCACCCCAGGCAGAATATTAAGCAACATCATCCTGGAGAGACTACAAAATGCCCTGGATTCACAATTACGACCGGAACACCCTGGCTGGCTGTCTGACTTCAACCAGAACAAATCATATGTCAATCAAATTGAAAGGTAACGCTACGCATCATCATAGAACAGAGCATAGAGTGCCAGTCAACTCTTCACCTCAATTTCATCCACTTTGAAAAGGCCTTCGATTGAGTCGTCGACCGAGAAGTACTTTGGCAGCTGCCGCTTCAACACTACTCTTCCACTGCCACAAACCTTTATGAACCTCATTCAACACCAGCTATATACTTGCTGTGTGATGAGGCTACATACCAAGAGATTGATAACACAGTGGAAAGCTCAGTGATGCCTTTGAAGTGAAGTGAAGACAGGGGACAGGAGTAAGACAAGGCGGCCGCCTACTATCATCGATGATCTTCCTGATTGTGGTCGACTCGACTGGACTGGACTGGATGATGCAAAAAACAACTATGAGGAGCGAGAAGATGGGCACACGCTGTTTTAAGCATGAGAAGTCCCTAGAAGATTTGGATTTTGCCAGTGATGATTTATGTCTAATGTTATCTTGTGTCACACAATCTCGAAGATGTACAGGCGAAAACCAACAGGTTAGCAGAAGAGGCGAGGCAGGGCAGTTAGGATGGGACTTCCTTCAGCTGAAGGTGGATAAGAAGACAGAGGTGATGAAGATACCCAAGCAAAAACAACAAGAACAATGACAGTGGTAAGAAGCACTAATCACCATGAACGGGAGAAATCGAAATGAGGTTGTCTCTTTCACCTACCTACCTCCTATGAGGCAGCATCGTTTCAACTACAGACGGTGGCACAGGCACAGATGAGGATGTTAAAGGCAGCCAGGATTGGAGAGACAGCAAGGCAGGCCTTCCTTCATTAATATGTGGATATCAGTGTTGAGATCTACTGCACTGCACTGCACTCAGCATAAAGCGTGAACAAGATCCGGATTTTCAACACTGTCAATGTCAGTCAAGTTGGTGCTTCCATGTGATGGTTGGGAGACTTGGCTTGTTGCGAAAAGCATTTCCAACAGACTACAGATATATACTCAACAGTCGCGGGATGCTGAAGATGGAGATCAGATGGTCAGAAAGAATTAGCAACATTTATCTCACTCTGGCAACCAACCGAGAGTGACATGAAGCAGATGATATGAGAAAGAAATGAAAGCTTGTGGGGAGTCGTGGGGCCAGTTTAAGAAGACTGTAGAGAAGAGAGTGAAATTGTGACGTACTACTGAAGCCTTATGTTGCAATAGGAACGCAAAGAACAAATAAGGCTCATAAAAGTTTAAAGATAATGTACTAGCTGAGGAATCTGAAGATACTGGATTCGATCCCTTGAGGGCGTACTTTTGAGTCATCTGAGACTAAAGCAAAAGAGTTGTTGTTCAGTGTTTCCAGGTTTCCAATGGTCCTCTCCAACTGATATTAGTTCATATTGTAACATTTTTTATTGTTTCAAAGAATACTGATGGTTTTTTTCTGGTTGATTGTGAATAATTATAAGTATATTAGTCGTCAGTTTCGAAGATTGAACTCGAAGCAAGTACTGGTCTCGAAAGTGTGCATATAGTGCTTCATCTGTTGAACTAAAATTCCTTACCTGAAATCAACTTTAAATTTTATTTCAATCTTTAATGACTTTTGATTGCTTATTGTGTTCTCATAAGTTAGAAATACACATGGATTTTGGCGTTTAGTACGTTTACTAGGGCTATCTCACTTCATCTTATTGTCCATTGTCTGTTAGATTTACATGGAACATTTTATTAATGTCGGTGTGTATTATCTTCTTACCTTATGTGAAGTTGTGGACTGCGGGTTCGAACCCCGCCTCTTCTACTGAAGTTCAGGCAGTAAACCAGGTAGCATCATTAACCCTTACACAATCGGTATAGTTGCTCATTGCCTCCTGTATGAATGTGAGTCGATTTTTCCACCATTATTTTACTAAATAACTTTCGAACAGTTTAGTAAACAATTTTCAGTTTAACTATCTGAGATAGTTGTAACTGTTTGACAGACTTAGTAATGATTGAAGATAGAATGGAAATCTGACTCATGCGCAGAGGGGGGATTGGTGTGGCTCGAACCCAAGACTTCTAAGTTACAGACTTGGTACTCTGTCACAACTAATCTAAATGACCAAACCGGTGACCATATCTTTATTCCATTTCAACCATTCGATAGCGGTTAGTAGATTACCAAATCAGTAACTTGTAGGTTACTGGTTTCAATCCTGCCGATACCATAGTTTTCATTTCACCTTCAATTATCACTCAGCTTTAAATGACATATCGAATGGTAATGAAGAATATGTGTAGCTCAGATGGGGATGGTCTTGGTTGTATTGTATTCTCTCAGCTGAGTTGTTTAATCGTGATTGTTGTGTCATCGACCGACGGCATAGATTTTCCTGTTGGCTGTCCCTCTGGTTGACCTCTCACCTTTCTGTCGTCTAGAAGAGCGATGAAAGCTTTACAATTAAACAACCCAGCTCAGAGAACATAATGCAACCAAGATATTGAATAATCGTGTATCGATAAAAGAAATGTATTCGTTTATGAACTCATAATCTTGCTGTTTTGTATCATTTAAACCTTTCGCTATGTTTTTCTTTGAAGTTAAGGAAACTGCATCATATTCTATTGATTCATCATCATCATCCTCAACAACAACAGAACCGGTATCACTTAGTTTACGTTTGATAATCCAACATTATTTGACAAAACAATCAATTTTAAAGTTACTTGATTTATTGGCTAAAGATGTGGAGAAAGAACGTCGTACAAAAAGAGGTGAGTTCGTCTCCTTTCCATCCATTATCCAACCTTTTTCAAATTAGTATTCATCGCAGAATGACATCAGTTGGAAGAAGATTAGAAACTTAAGAGCACTGGATAACTGTTTCGACTCACCAGTGTGGGGCTACTCAGCAGTGGACACCGATAACTCTACCCTCCAGAGATCGAATTCAAGGCCTTTAGGCTTCGTGGCCAGCAGGTTACCATTGATCCATTAGGTCAGTGAAATTAAAATCTGGTCAGCAGTTGGATCGCATAGCTTATTTGTGGAAGATCAACGGTCTGGTAACCTAGCGGTCTTTTATTCAAGTTCTGTTGAGGCCCAGAGATAACGTAAGAATACTTAAACATGGAAATAGGCATTGTGATGGGTGAGTGGAGGAGATCAAATGAAACCGATGTACATCATCAACTGACATCAGTTGGAAACCTGGGAGCACTGAACAACTGTTACGTCTCATCAGTAGGGGATTCTTCAGCAGTGCGCACCCATGACCCCACCTGTCCATGATGAATACCAACCTGAAATCAATAAAATCCCCCCTATCTTCAATACTAACTGGATGTAGTTTTTCTCCCCAGATGGAATAGTAATCAGTTAGTTGTACAGTGAAATCAATTTGTACAGAACAATCAGGATGTAGGAAGGCGAAATTTAGAGATAAGGATTCATTTATGTCCATCCATCCAAACCAACATAGGACCAGGGATTACTGCATGACAGTCCGAGTTGCCACGACACCTTATATCAGTACATCAAATAAAAAGGCAGTAAAGTGGAAGATGAAGATATGAAAATTCAGTTGAAAGGGAATATAAAGTACTGAAAGAGAGAAAGGATGAATGACAAAATGGTGATATTCAGTAGAGCGTTAATATGAGGATAATGTGTGTGGGGATACATCTGCTCCACCGACATAGGTTCTTAGCCATATGAGCTAGAGTCAGTCTCCAACCACTAGTTTCTCTTGTCCTACCGACTCCAACCAGCTAGTCTGCATCACCAAATGTGCCACAAACCAACAGTCAACAACTTCATACATTGATACCATGTTTTAGTCTGGCCGACTACAACCTTTTTCTAGCCTGGACCTACTTCGTGCAACATTGTGTGACGAGGCAGACGGCGACTATGCATACGTAACATGTGTCTCAGCCAGCCAGCCATCTCAGTCGATGAAGGTACATAACCTTGTCAAGTGGCTTACCTCTTTTCCCTGAAACTCTACACCTTGTGGAACTCTTTTATGTACCTTTGTCTCAGATATGAATGTGTGTGTGTGTGTGTTTGTATGTATTTACTGGAGTTCAACTCATGATTCGGACATGAGACCGAAAACATGAAAATAAATGCTGCGCTACATCGGAATTACTCAAGTAAACTAAACCTTATGCAGATGGGTATGAAAATAAATGTTTATCAGGGAAGTGGAGGGGGGGGGAATAGAAAAATATTACGATGGGATCGAAGGTTGAAGTATGAAATTCATATTAAGAAGGTTCTCTGAAGAATATGTTGACCTGACCGTATTATGGACCAAATTAGATGAGCATATATCTCTTTTTACAAAAAACGATCTCGTTCCACTGAATCGGTTGGTTTCTATTGGCTTATGAGCTCCTTCAACTGACGCTCCCCCAAGTTTTCTATACCTCCTTCCATTTTTATGTTATTATTAACTGGCTAGCAGTGAAATGAAGGATATAGGTTCCGTTTTATTTGTGACTTGTCATTAGCAGTGTCTACATTCTAGTTGGGGGAAAATGTTCTGCCTTAGCTGAAACTTGGACGCAATACGCCTTACTTGAAGCACTGTAGCAGTAACACTGTAGGCTAAACAGTTTGTCGCAATGAAATATAAAGGGAATTTGGAGGTTTATGGGGAAGGGGGGGGGTTATTTCCTGATTTCAGGTTGATATTCATCACTAGTGCTCATTGGAGGCTCGCTTCGAGATGAGATTCTCGAGATTATAATGAAGCGTTGTGACTGGTTGGGTCAACCAAGTCGAATGTGAAGACATGAACTCAACGAAGGCATTAGATGGAGGTCGCGCTGTATCGTGAACTGCAGAAGTAGTAAATATAGACCATGGGGTTCCGCCGACGCAACGGCTTATTGGTAACGTGCTTGTTGCGGGACGTAAAGGCCTTGGGTTCAATCCCTGTTGGGTTGGGCGGTGTCATGGGTGCACGCTGCTGAGGAGTCCCGTACCAGTTGGAAAAAACACCTGTCCAGTGTTCTCAGGTTCCGAATGTTCCTCCAACTGATGTCACTTCATGATGAATATTGCTGAAGAGATGTCTGTCAAGACTCAGTACCATTATTGATAATAGTATGACGTTTCGAGTGACACTTACTTGTTTCAAAACTCAGCGGGAACCACACTGTAGACTGCCATACAGGTGCATCCAGTTGGGGGATTTCGTATTGAACAGATATGTGATATCAACTTAGGACCTGGTCACACCTTGAATCAGCACCTCTAGCTAAAATGCAGTAAGATAAAATACGAAGCAATAACGAGGTGGCTCGGTGGTATAGTGGATAGCGCTCTCTCATTTGAAGCGATCGCTCCCGAGCCCGAATCCCGGTGGGAAGAATATCACTCACTGGATGGCAGGTACATCCAGCTGACGAATCCGAAAAAGGACGAAATGCGCATCCTGGATTCTACTGCTAGCCACTGCCCATCACCACTATAAATAACGAAGTGAGTTGTTAGGAAAGAACAAGAAGGAGGGAAGAGATTTTGAGATTCAGTATGTCGATTACAAGGCTCATAACATGAGCCTATATCTAGGCCTTTGAGATCGATCCTCAGACATATCAAGACATCTACAGTCTCCAACCACTGGCTTTCGGTGTCATGAGGAAACCATCCGGGAAGCCCACATCTCTCCACACACATATAATTGACAGTCAGCAACTCGACAGACAGATGGTATGTTTAGGCATGTTCACTCTTTACCTTAACCCACCTAAAACCTACTACACCTAACATTGTGTGATGAAGCAAATCGTGGCTAGACATATGTAACACCTACATGCTGAAGTCAGTCACCTGACTCAATGAAGGTTAACAACCTTATCCATTCACACGTTTCTTTCATGTCTATCTACAACTCTATACCTGACTTTTGCATTACTCATGTGGAGACACCACAACACCCGATCTATCCTACAAAGTCAACGATGGTCGAGCACCTTAATCCATCTCGCCTTAGTATATGTTGCCTCAGTAGTACGCACCCATGACTCCATCCTCCAACATTAGTTTACTCACGATTTTTAAGTATAGTGAATATATGAAGGCAAAGAATTTAGAAGAGACAATTTCAAGCTAGATTGAGTGAATTAACGCCCAGTAACCCTGACACTTAATAGATGATTGGATATCATAGTGAAATCAAAGATGGCGTAAGGTGGCAAAAAGTCAGATCATTATTATTATTAGTCCCTTGGGTTTCTAATGGAACATAGGGCTTCAGTAGCACGTCTCCAGTGACCTCTGTTCTCTGAGATCTTTTGAACCTGGTTCCACGACAGCCCAGAAGCTCTCATTTCCTCCTCGCACGATCTCCTCCATGTCACCCTCACTCTCGGACGTCCAACTCGTCGCTTCCCATGAGGATTCCACTCGAGGGACTGGCCTGACACGTGATGTCCCCAGTTGGCCTTCTCAGTGTATGCCTAATTCAATCCATCTCCATTTCCTCTTGCATATTTATTGGGTGATAGGTTCTTGGTTGGTTCGTTGCCAGCCAGCCAGAGTTCCTTGTTGCTTATTCTTCCTGGCAATCCATCTGACCTTCAGTAACGAGCCAGCGTAGGCGGCTGTTGTTGATGAATGTCTGTAGTTTATTGGAAATGCGTTTCGTGACGCGTCAAGTCTCTGAGCCATACAGAAGCACTGAGTTGACTGAATTGGTGTTGAAAATCCGGATGTTGTTCCACATGCTGAGTGGAGTGCCGAAGATCTCCACTCTGGTTTGAGGCTAATGAACGCCTGTCTTGCTGTTTTTCCGATTCTGACTGGTTTTGACATCGTCGTCTGTGCCGCCTGTAGTTGAAACAGTGCTGCTTAGATACGTGAAGGAGGTTACTTCCTTTAGGTTTCTCCTGTTGATGATGACTGGAGTTTGTTGTTGTTGGTGGTGCGGTGTCTTCATCACTTCTGTCTTCTCTGTATTCACTTGAAGTCGTGTCTTCGCTGCCCTGTCTCTTCTGTCAACTTGTTAGTTTTCGCCTGTAGATCTTCAAGTTTGTGTGACATTAGGCACAAGTCATTGGCGAAATCCAAGTCTTCTAGATTCTTTTCCGCAATCAAGAATACCTTACCTCTAATTAATTATCCACCTAAATTTATAACTAAATTCATAAGAAATCGAAAGAAAAACAATACCAACGTTATCGATACTAATCCTTCTACTAATAGTAATAATGGTGACAGGGTTGTGTAAGAATTCAAAGCCTCCAGTGTGTTATCATACAAGGAAGGCACCTCAGAGTCATAATGAAGAATTCTCAATAAGGCTGATTGGGGTTATAGAAACAAACTTTGTAGGTTAAAAGATCCTCCTATAGATGCAATTCAGCAAAGTGATCTGGTTTACCAAATCCCTTGTAATAATTGTGAGGTCAATTACACAGGTGAAAGTAGTTGACCAGTCAGGGTCGATTAGAATAACAGAACACAAAAACTTACCTAAATCAAACGTTAGTAGATCCTAATAAGATAAGAATTTTAGGGAAAAGCTCAGCCATAACTCTGCACTCGATTACACACAATCACACTATAGGGTGGGATAGAGTGATCGCATTAAAATCTGACTTAGTTGGCTAGAGAGAGAGCGAGATCGATAACCGAATTTCTGATTATCGAATCTACGCCAAATAAATACATACAGTAATAGAAATGATTCTGCATCTGTCTGAGATATATGGAAAATTCTACTACCCTTATCATCACAAGGAAGGTGAGAAAATTAGGACTATATAAATTCTACGTCAATGTTGTGGAGTTACTTGTGAACAATAAATTGTATCCGAAACGTTATCCAGTAAATGATAATGCTGCTTCACTATGTGCGACAATTCTACTAAACCGATTAAAGTGGAATTACAACCTACCACAGTGCCTAAGTTTTATTCCTACACCTCACTCTCTACTGTTCAACAGGTCACCAACTCATAACAGTCATGAAACAAGCATTTCGATTTTGAGAAACACATCCTGAACATTCTAAAGTTGCCATTCAAGGTGTGTAGAAGATTCTGCGCCTTATAGTCATCTTCACTTAAGAAGACAATGTCATTTGATGGTTGTAGGTTTACTACGGAGTGTCTGGTAAGAGAATAGTAATGATTACGGAAGAAAAGAGTCCCGTAATACGAAGACAATATTTCAGCTTCACTTTGCTTTGGTAATTAAACAGCGAACGATGGAATAACTGCTAACATCGGAGGTAAACCATAAACATACAGATGGAATCAACGTAGAACGTTGCACACAAATGGATCGGCTCAGATTGCCATACTTCAGAGTACTACTTAAAGAACAGGTAGATATAAAAAGGGGTGATACCAAAGTAGACAAAGTTCTGTGAGGGAATAAACATTCTTAAGATAACAACTAGTACAAATAATCAAGCTTTATGTGATGTCGAGGAGTGAATACATCTGTGCCATTGTAACCAATTTTCAGGTATGTCACTAAGATTTCTTATTCCTGTTGTTTCGATGATCCTAGACAGTCTAACTTTGCTCACCAGGAGGACCAGATCAATATTCAGGGACTTCATAAGGTGGTGCTTCGTTAAGCATTGCACGTTGAGGTAGATGGTAGCTCAACATATACAACACATATCCAAACCACCTCAGTTGATGAAGATTCACAAGTTCATCAGTCGACTTGCTTATCTCGTCTAGTATCTTTCTATATATTCAACGGTGTCCTAAAACACTGTCAGTATCTAAAGTATTGTGTTACGCTTTGATTATATAGTTTCAAATCTTACATTGACAATAAAATTGACTTTTTTATAGATGATTCAGGCATCAAGAAACTTTAAGGTGAATTTTCTATATGAATCAATGAGTAATTACTGAGTTCCTTCTCATACCTATTGACCATCATTAAAGTACATTCACAGTATGATTAGTAACATACAGTTTGCATTTATAATGAATACATCTATAGGATGTCGATTACTTTGAAATGAAGCATACATGAATAGTGTTATGCTATGTATATTCACATGAAATTAATTGACAGGTATAATTCAGAGGCTAATACACACTAGGGGGGGGAGGGATGCTTACGATTTAGCTGTATACTACTGAAAAGTGATTATACATTCATCTTGTATTAAGCGAAAGGAAAATGCTGATCGATCTAGCTTGAAATTGTCTCTTCTAAATTCTTTGCCTTCATATATTCACTATACTTAAAAATCGTGAGTAAACTAATGTTGGAGGATGGAGTCATGGGTGTGTACTACTGAGGCAACACATACTAAGGCGAGATGGATTAAGGTGCTCGACCATCGTTGACTTTGTAGGATAGATCGGGTGTTGTGGTGTCTCCACATGAGTAATGCAAAGGTCAGGTATAGAGTTGTAGATAGACATGAAAGAAACGTGTGAATGGATAAGGTTGTTAACCTTCATTGAGTCAGGTGACTGACTTCAGCATGTAGGTGTTACATATGTCTAGCCACGATTTGCTTCATCACACAATGTTAGGTGTAGTAGGTTTTAGGTGGGTTAAGGTAAAGAGTGAACATGCCTAAACATACCATCTGTCTGTCGAGTTGCTGACTGTCAATTATATGTGTGTGGAGAGATGTGGGCTTCCCGGATGGTTTCCTCATGACACCGAAAGCCAGTGGTTGGAGACTGTAGATGTCTTGATATGTCTGAGGATCGATCTCAAAGGCCTAGATATAGGCTCATGTTATGAGCCTTGTAATCGACATACTGAATCTCAAAATCTCTTCCCTCCTTCTTGTTCTTTCCTAACAACTCACTTCGTTATTTATAGTGGTGATGGGCAGTGGCTAGCAGTAGAATCCAGGATGCGCATTTCGTCCTTTTTCGGATTCGTCAGCTGGATGTACCTGCCATCCAGTGAGTGATATTCTTCCCACCGGGATTCGGGCTCGGGAGCGATCGCTTCAAATGAGAGAGCGCTATCCACTATACCACCGAGCCACCTCGTTATTGCTTCATATTTTATCTTACTGCATTTTAGCTAGAGGTGCTGATTCAAGGTGTGACCAGGTCCTAAGTTGATATCACATATCTGTTCAATACGAAATCCCCCAACTGGATGCACCTGTATGGCAGTCTACAGTGTGGTTCCCGCTGAGTTTTGAAACAAGTAAGTGTCACTCGAAACGTCATACTATTATCAATAATGGTACTGAGTCTTGACAGACATCTCTTCAGCAATATTCATCATGAAGTGACATCAGTTGGAGGAACATTCGGAACCTGAGAACACTGGACAGGTGTTTTTTCCAACTGGTACGGGACTCCTCAGCAGCGTGCACCCATGACACCGCCCAACCCAACAGGGATCGAACCCAGGGCCTTTACGTGCTTCAATTGATGTCAGTCCGTAGTGGATATCAACTTGCAAAATCACTTAATCCGCACAAATCCTTCAAATTCAAGCGTACATCATTTATATACCACAGTTTTCACGAACGGATTAAACCATTGGGTTAAAAGTCAGGTAACTTGTTTTGATTGGCCAACTGTAGGACAAAATTTTCAAATGAGGGTTTTCTTGACCATGCAGTGTAATGAAACCAGTGTCTAAAATATCTGCCTTACGGGTTCATGACCTAAAATATTGATTTCCTATCATGTACAGAAGTACTTTTGAATATAAGGATTTGGAAGTTGTATGTATCAAGACTGTCTACTATCACCCATGATATTCCTGATTGTGGTCGACTGGATCATGCAACAAACTGTGAGAAGCGAGAAAATGGGCAATCGCTGTTTGACCGATGAGCAGACCCTAGAACATTTGGATTTCACCGATGACTTGTGACTAATGTAGCACAAACTCGAAGATCTACAGGAGAAAACCAACAAGTTGACGGAAGAGACAGTGAAAAAGGGACTTAAAGGGAACGTAGAGAAGACAGAGGTGATGACGATACCCAACCAAGAACAACAACAAGCTCTAATCACCATTAACGGGAGAAGCTTAAAGGGAGTAGCCTCTCACCTACCTAACTAGGAGGTAGCATCGTTTCAAATACGGGCGGTGGCATAGTCACAGACGACGATGTCAAAACCAGCCAGGACCGGAAAGACACCAAGACAGGCTTTCATTAATTTGAAATCAGAAATCAGAACACGATCCGGATTTTCAACACCAACGTCAAGTCAGTGCTTCTATGTGATGGATCAGAAACTTGGAGCGTTACGAAAGGGATTTCCAAGAAACTACAGATATTCATCAACAGCTGCCTACGCTCGTTACTGAATCTCAGATGGCCAGAAAGAATAAGCAACAAGAAACTCTGGCTGGCATTGAACCAACCAAGAACTTATCGCTGAACAAATATGCAGGAGGAGAAAGTGGAGATAGATTGGGGATGCACTGGGACATCACGCGCCGGGCCAGGCACTAGAGTGGAACCTTGATGGGAAACGACAAGTCAGGCGTCCCAGTTGATGGTGACATGGAGGAGATCGTGTAAGAAAGAAATGAGAGCTTGTGGGCAGTCGGGGAGCCCGGTTGAAAAGATTGCAGAGAAGAGAGTGGAATAGAGACGTGCTACTGAAGCGGTATGTTCCACTAGGAACCCAAGGGACAAATAATGATAATAATGTATCAAGTTGTCTGTTTCTTGATTTTCATGATATCTGTTGGTTTTTCTCAATGTCTTCTTGTTAAAAATATGTTTGAACGAGTCTTTTTTTTATTACCGATTATATATTTGTTTTCTACTCAGGTCTGACAAATTTAGTTCAAGTTTACGCACATCAACCAGTCTATACAGATAAAGATACGCTTATTGAAGCACGTCGACGTTTATACTTTTCACGTGTACGTCTCAGCTATCTTACACAATGTCGTCAAAAGTTGGCATATAGTCTAAAACAGATTCATTTATTAGAAGATGGAAATTCCAATTCATTATTATCTTCATGTATTGAATTACCTTCATGTTTAATTCAAACTGGATTTTCTAAATTACTCTGTCACTTACATACATCCTCTGAATTAAACAAGACCAGTGTTATTGATGATAATGATAACAGTAATAAGTTTTGTTTAATCACAGGACGTGCGGTATATTTACCTGATTTGGATGAAATTCCTAACAATGGAGTCAATGTAATTGGTTAGTGGTAGAAAATTTATTTTCAAATTATTATTATTATTATTAGTCCCTTGGGTTCGTAGTGGAACATAGGGCTTCAGTAGCACGTGTCCAGTGACCTCTGTTCTCTGAGATCTTTTGAACCTGGTTCCACGACAGCCCAGAAGCTCTCATTTCCTCCTCGCACGATCTCCTCCATGTCACCCTCACTCTCGGACGTCCAACTCGTCGCTTCCCATGAGGATTCCACTCGAGGGACTGGGCTGACGCGTGATGTCCCCAGTCGGCCTTCTCAGTGTGTGCCCAATTCAATCCATCTCCACTTCCTTCCAATGCATATTTGTTGGATGATAGGTTCTTGGTTGGTTCGTTCCCAGAGTGAGTTCCTTGTTGCTTATTCTTTCTGGCAATCCATCTGATCTTCAGTAGCGAGTCAGCGTAGGCGGCAGTTGTTGATGAATGTTTGTAGTTGATTGGAAATGCGTTTCGTGACGCGTCAAGTCTCTGAACTATACATAAGCACTGAGTTGACTGAATTGGTGTTGAAAATCCGGATGTTGTTCCACATGCTGAGTGTAGTGCAGAAGATCTCCACACTGGTTTCAGGCTAATGAATGCCTGTCTTGCTTTTTTCCGATTCTGACTGGTTTTGACATCGTCGTCTGTGCCACCTGTAGTTGAAACAGTGCTGCTTAGATATGTGGATGAGGTTACTTCCTTTAAGTTTGTCCTGTTGATGGTGATTGGAGGTTTTGTTGTTGTTGTAGTTGTTTGTGCGGTGTCTTCATCACCTCTGTCTTCTCTGTATTCACTTGAAGTCGTGTCTTTGCTGCCTCGCCTCTTCTGTCAACTTGTTAATTTTCTCCTGTAGATCTTCAAGTTTGTGTAACATCAGGCACAAGTCACTGGTGAAATCCAGATCTTCTAGGTTCTTTTCCACAGTCCAGCGTATGCTCCTCTTCTCGCTCCCCACTGTTTGCTGCATGATCCAGTCCACCACAATAAGGAATATGATGGGGGATAGTAGGCAACCTTGTTTCACTCCTGTCTTCACTTCAAAAGCATCACTGAGCTTCCCATTGTGGATTACTTGTCATGTGGCATCTTCATATGGTTGTTGAATGAGGCGGATAAAGGTTTGCGGTATTCCGTAGTATTGAAGCAGTTTCCAAATTACCTCTCTCTCGACACTGTCGAAGGCCTTCTCAAAGTCGATAAAGTTGAGGTGTAGAGTTGACTGCCATTCTATGCTCTGTTCTATGATGATGCGTAGTGAAGCGTTGCAATTTGGTCTGCATATGATTTGTACTTCCTGAAGCCTGTTTGTTCCGGTCGTAGTTTTGAATCCAGTGCATCCTTTAGCCTCTCCAGGATGATGCGGCTTGATATTTTGCTTGCTTGGGGTGGATAGGAGCATGATTCTGCACCAGTTCTTGCAAACACTGAGGTCTCCCTTCTTCTGCAGTTTGACAAGGTAGCCCTTCTTCCAATCAATTGACTGGTACCTTCTCTTCATTCCACACCTTCTGCAAAAGTGGTGTGGTGTGAGCATGTCTGCTATTGTCTCTGCGTCTGTTCTCAGTGCTTCTGGTGGGATCCCATCTGGTCCTACTGCTTTCCCACATTTCAGTAGCTTTATGGCGTTCAGGACTTCCATTTCTGTTGGAAGATTTATGTTCACTTGTAGTTCAACGGCTGGGCTATGGGTGGTATTTGTGGATGAAGTGCAGGTGGTGGTCGATTAAAGAGCTTCTTGAAGTGGTCAACCCATTGTTTCCTTTGTTGCTCTTCTTTCGTAATCGAATTTCCTTCTTCATCTTTTATTGGTTTCGTCTGCGTTGATCTCTTCCCAGATAGTAACCTGGTTATTTGATACAGTGTTGTCAGGTCTTTCTTACCAGCCGGCAGCCTGTTCTGCTTCACTTGTCAGTGTTTCGTAGAAGTGTCTTTTGTCTTTTCGTGCACTCTTCTTCACTTCTTTGTCCAGTGTAGTGTTTTATACATTGTGCTCAGTTCCTCTTGTCGCTGAGCATCCTTGCACTGGTTTATCTTTTGCTTCGCCATCCTCCTCTCCTCTATCAGCTTCCATGTGTCCATCGAGATCCATTCCTTGTCTTGCAACTTCTTCTTCCTTCCTAATACACAGCTGTGCAGGTTTCTTTCCACATCTCTTTCAAAGACTTCCAGTGTTCTTCCACACAGGTTTCTTCAGGGATGTTCCTCGATATCTCCCATTTTGTCTTGATGACTGACGTGAATATCTCCTTTGTAGTTTTGTGCTTCAGTTTCCGAGTGTTGTACTTGAACTGCGGTCTATCACCAGCTTCCTTGAAGACTTTTAACTTGATTTGGAAGGTTCCTTGCACTAGATAGTGATCTGAACCTACATCTGCTCTTCTTCTTGACCTTGTGTTCAGTAGACTGCATCTCCATTTTCTTGAGATTGAAATAAAGTCGATTTGATTTTTAGTGTGTCCAGGTGTCTGGTGAAATCCATGTCGCTCGCTTTGTGGATATCCTTGTGCTTGAACACACTGCCTCCAATCACCAAATCGTTGAATGCACGAAAGTCTGTTAACAGTTCTTCATTCTCATTCATTTCACTAAGCGCTTCTCGACCCATGATAACTTCTCTTCCTCTGTTGTCGCCTCCCAGTTTGGCATTCATGTCACCTCACCCATCAGAATTTTGATGTCACTAACTGAGGTGGTGTCTTGTCCAGTGTTGATTGGAGTTGTCTGTGGAATTCCTCCTCCTTCTATTCAACTTCATTATTTGTAGGTGCAGAGCGTAGCGTAGCGATGCATTGTATGATTGTGACTTTCCTTCCTTCCTTTTGAGTTGAAAGTTGCTGTCATCATCCTAATCGCGGAGAGATTGGTTCTCACTGCATGAGAGCCTTTGATGCTCTTGAAGGGAACATCATGATAGCTAGCCACTGGAAAATTCAATGTGCTGGTGGTTGTCGTCTGGGTGACATTGTCGGAGTGGATTATTGACTGACTCTCCATTTGACAGTTTGAAGTGTCCACTCCCATTCTGTCTGCTTTCGCAAATTCCAAGCACTTCAATGTGATACCTCTTCATCTCTTTTGCAATCTGGGCTGCCTTACTGGGTTCAAACATCGCACGGACATTCCATGTCCCCACGTTTACTTTTGCTTTCATCGAGAGGAGAGGAGAGGAGACACATCGGCCAATTGGCTTCCCGAAGGCAGGCTTTCACCAACCGGCATCATTTCGCCTCTCCGATTCCGGAGAGGAATAGTTTTGCTTTTATTTCTTGTATTTTGTTTGTGCTTTGAAGTTTTTATAGCGATTGGATTTGTTTTACGGGATAGGGTTGCTAGCCTTATGCCCAATCTTCCCTGTTTACCCGGGCTTAGGACCGGTTAGTAACTAGTGAACTAGTTAACCTGGCGAGGTTATTTTCAAATTACTTTTCTGTATTCTTATTCTCATTGTTGAGTGTGTCGATCACTTCACTTACCTGGGAGGTAGGATCAGCCCTTTACTGGTGGGTCAGTTTGCCGATAAAATCTCTGCACAAATACAAGTTGCTCGATTGGCTTTCGCCAATTTACGCCACACATGGCGCCGCCATGATATCCGTTTGTATATTAAGGGTGGCATGTACTGCACAACAGTTCGGTCTGTTCTACTGTATGGCTATGAAATATGACCATCTAAGGTGGAAGACATGAGAAGGCTGGCTGCAGGTGTTTGACGACCGTTGTCTTCGTATTATAGGCCATATTCCGTGGTATCATCACACCATGTGAGTAACTGAGAAGTGAGGTATAGAGTTTTAGGGAAGGAGAAGAGGTAAATCATTTGACGAGGTTATGAACCTTCATAGACTGAGATAGTTGGCTGTGACACGTGTTACGTATACCTAGTGACCCTCTGTCTCGTCCCACAATATTGACAGAAGTAGGTTTTAGCTGGGAAAAGGTCCGAGGTGGTCAGACTAAAACCTGGCGTTAATGTATGAAGTCGTTGACTGTTGGTTTGAGCCATGTGGTGTGGCGATGCAGACTAGGTGGTTGGGGTTGGTGAGACAAGAGGAACCAGTGGTTGGAGATTGACTCTAGGTGATGATATGGCTGAGAACGGATGTCAATGGCGGAGATTTATCCCCACACACTTTCTCCTTTCTTTCTTCTCATACTTTATATTTCTTTTAACTGAATTTTCTTATCTTCATCTTGCAGTTCACTATGATGTTGAAATACAGTAACATCATAACTTGTCATCTGTAAGGAATTGATGTCCTTCTTCATTGAAAATGATTTGAATTTCGTGTTACTGATAGACTTCAAACTCATTTTCTTTGACTGTTAGTTTCGATTTGAAAGCTTTTCAAATAATCTCAATCAAGTTTTGTTTTTCTTACTATTGTTAACATTTTCTCCCCTCTCATTTAATAGAATGGCCTCCATTCCCAATAGAAGATATTGGACATGAGGATGTTAATGATGATATTTTTCAATGGGATATTGAAAAAATTCGTCAACACTTACTTGAACAAAATTCATTTTGGATATTAGAAAATGAAGAGTTAAAAAGTGATGGGTATCATCATTATCAATCTTTAGACACAAAATTATCATGTCCTCAATTAAAATCTGTTTCACAGAGAAATTGTTCTAACACAATGAAATCGATACTACTGATTAATGATAAGAAAACTTCAAAAAATGCTTATCTAGATGTTAAGAAATCTGTTGGTATAAAAGACAATCAACACATTACGACTAATAATAATGTCATTGAATCATTGAACACTTGTCAATATTCCTCATTGAATCAATCTTCGAGACAAGTACTTTTTGAAGAGAGAAAACAGGATTTGTCTATAAGTAAAGTGAAGGGAACTGAATTTTGTTCAACCACTACTACTACTACTATTACTACTACTACTACTACTACTGCGAACATCATGTCTAAATCTTCTGTTCATAGTTCAATGAAGACAGTTGAAAAAACACCAACCTTAGCTGTGAATGAAATTGATACACATGATTCTATTGTGACGTCTTGTTCTCCTACAATATCGACATCTTCTTCTTCGTCTCCTGTTTCTCAAACTCTTGAAAAAGATATATCGGTAAGTAGTAACATTTGTGAATATATTGAAATATTACTAAGTATTCCCTTCTCATATATTTATCTAAAACAAAGTAGAAAGATAGTATACTAGGATTATTGTCTACTGACAAATAACTTAAAGAAAGTGAACGAAATGGTTCTATATTTTGTCCACCGAAGGATCATCTACACCTACTGTAAGAATATGATTATCAGAGATAGAAAAACAAAGACAGTACAAGTTTTTAACCATAGCTGTCTTCATAACATTACATATGTGTCTTGTCGATTGGTAAAGTTACAAGCTGTTTCGTCGCAGCACGGGACTCTTCAGCAGTACATACCTATAGGTCTAACTCAGGGCGTTTAAGTTTCCCGACGAAAGCGTTAACTATCCAGCTATTGGGTCAAAATTCAATAATCCTCATTTTTCTACTTCTATGAATTCGTGATTTATAGCGCGACTATCCACCCAGATCAAATTGCAAACGCTATGCATCATCATAGAACAGAGTATAGAATGATAGTCAACTCTTTACTTCAACTTCATGGATTTTGAAAAGGACTTTGATAGCGTCGAATGACAAGTAATTTGGCAATTGCTACTTCAACACTACGCTTTTAGTGTCACAAACTTTTATCAATCTCATTCAACAGCAGTTATATGATTGGATTTTGCCGACAATGATTTATGTCTAGTGTCTTATGTTGCATAAACTCGAAGATCTACAGGTGAAAACTGACAAGTTAGCAGAAGAGGCAGGACAGTGAAGACTTGACTTCCTTCAGGTGAACATAGAGAAGACACGGCGATTTGGACGTCTGAGGATGATGACACGGAGGAGATGGTGTGAGGAAGAAATAAAAGCTTATGAGTAAAATGGTGACATGCTACTGAAGCCCTATGTTTCACTAAGTACCCAGATTTGTGAATGCATGCTGCTGAAGAGTCGCACACTAGGACAAAATAGCTCTACTGTGCTCCTCATTAACTTTTAAATACATTAAATGTTTATCATATTCAATCAGTTAATTAGTCAACTTGTTGTTCTCTTGATTTTCGTCTTAGACTAATATATTTCGGTCACGTTTTGGTTATGGAATACATGGATCATTTAATAAAGTGAAATTTAATCATAATCATCAATCTACTGATTGTAATAAGAATCATAATAACAATAGGAATTTTAACAATACAAATAGGAAATCAATTGTAAAATCAGATATTTTGGGGGTTAACAAATCAAAAATGTATCTCAATAGTCTAAACATTTCTTCATCGAGTTCAAGTAATACTAATCCAATGGATAATCAATCTCTTTCACCATGTAAATCAGTTCATTTCTCTTCTGAAGTAAATCAATTAAAGGATTCTAATCAACTGATAAAGGATAATTTGAATTCAAGTTATAATGATGATGATGATGATGAGTATTTATCATCTAGTTTACATTGTCTTGGTTGGGCTAAAGTTCAACGAAATTATACACCTCGTCAATCATCAGAAATTCATTTACAAGAAGGTAATTTTAAGTGACTTTTTTTTTTAATAACTATAATATTAATTTTCCAAGAAGAGATAATTTATTATTTGTCTTTTAGGTTCCTAGTGGAACATATAACTTCAGTAGCACGTCTCCATTCCACTCTCTTCTCTACAGTCTTTTGAACTTGGCTTCACAACAGCCTACAAGCTATCATTTCTTCCACACACGATCTCTTTCATGTCATCTTATCCTTGGATGCCCAACTTGTTGTTTCTCATCTGGGTTCCACTCGAGTGCCTAGATCGTCATGTCCCAGAATCGTCTTTTAAGTGCATGCTCAATCCATCTCCACTTCATTCTTCATATTTGTTGAGTGATAGGTTCTTGGTTGTTTCGTTGCCTGAATACTACCTACAATCACCAAATCGTTGAATGCGCGAAAGCCTATTAACAGTTCTTCATTCTCATTCATTTCACTAAGCGCTTCTCGACCCATGATAACTTCTCTTCCTGTGTTGTCCCCTCCCAGTTTGGCATTCATGTCACCCCACCCATCAGAATTTTGATGTCACTAACTGAGGTGGTGTCTTGTCCAGTGTTGATTGAAGTTGTCTGTGGAATTCCTCCTTCTTCTCTTCATCTTCATTATTTGTAGGTGCACAGCGTAGCGTAGCGTAGTATTGTATGATTGTGACTTTCCTTCCTTCCTTTTGAGTTGAACCTTGCTGATATGATCCTGGAGGAGAATGGTTCTCACTGCATGAGAGCCTTTGATGCTCTTGAAGGGAACATCATGATAGCTAGCGACTCGAAAACTCAGTGTGCTGGTGGTTGTCATCTGGGTGACATTATCGGAGTAGATTATTGACTGACTCTCCATTTGACAGTTTGAACAGTCGACTTGCATTCTATCCACTTTCACAGATTCCAAGCACTTCTATGCTATACCTTCTCATCTCCTCTACAATCTGGTCAGCCTTGCCAGCTAAGTTCGTACATGGTGCGAACATTACATGTCACTACGCCTACTTTTGCTTTCATTGAGAGGAGAGGAGAGGAGACACATCGGCCAATTGGCTTCCCGAAGGCAGGCTTTCACCAACCGGCATCATTTCGCCTCTCCGATTCCGGAGAGGAATAGTTTTGCTTTTATTTCTTGTATTTTGTTTGTGCTTTGAAGTTTTTTTAGCGATTGGATTGGTTTTACGGGATGGGGTTGCTAGCCTTATGCCCAATCTTCCCTGTTTACCCGGGCTTAGGACCGGTTAGTAACTAGTGAAGTAGTTAACCAGGCGAGGTTAGGAACAGATAATTTAGCGAAGAGAATTCTTTCTTTCTTTTCGTTGATATCCTTTTACAAAGTGTTTATGAATATGCTACAGAGATACAACAATATATAGACCATTTTCATGCTGAGTGATGAGAACAGGTGAGATGAATATGCGAACAGCGGCCGGATTCAAAACAGCGACCACCGGGTTACTGATCCGATGCTCTACCAACTGAGTTACGAAGTCCTACTGCTGACCACATCTTTATTTGATTTCAGTCTTTACCCTGTATCAACACAAGTCTACCAAACCATGGGTATCACACATAGTCAAAAATGATGATCAATATGATGCCCACCCCCCGTCTCATTCTAATTCACTTACATTTGTATTGGAATGAGAAGTCCTGACTGGTGAGCAGCCAGTGTGAATACGATCAAGCAGTAGTCGGGATAAAATAATGTTAAGTCTCAGTTAGATCTCGTAGCTTATTTGGTAGACCATCGGGCCGATAACCCTATGGTTGCTGGTTCGAATCCGGTCACGGTTGAGATTTTCATTTCACCTTCAATCATCACCCAGTATAAAATACCAGTCTGCCAAACTACTAGTCAAACGATAATCTATGGACCTATTGAACAATAGGTCATATTTAAATCATCAAAAGAGTGCTAGAACTCAAATCAATACAGGATATCAGTTACGCAATATGTTGGATATGATAATTGAGCGTCCACTTGACATATATAAACAAGGTAATGAAATAAATGAAGGTGAATAATAGTAAACTAATTAATCGGTGAATTACCATGGCCTCTGTTTGGAAGTGTTCTCTTCAACTCTCTAGATGATACTGAATGAAGAGTTTGGTTGAGGTGTATGATCAGAGTTGACCAACTGATTAAGAATTGAATTATATTGTCTCCTCGACAACCATATAGGATAGTGGTCAGAGATACGTTTGAAAAGTACACGTTTTGTGCGGCTTATATATAACCAGATCCATCTTTTCAAGAAGAAAATCGATCAAAACTATCTGAGTATGATACTAGCGTATTTGAACTATCGACTACTTAGGTTACATGACTATTATACATTCCTATGCGTGAATACAAAAGGCTCGATTGGCTTTCGCCAATTTACGCCACACATGGCGCCGCCATGATATCCGTTTGTATATTAAGGGTGGCATGTACTGCACAACAGTCCGCTCCGTTCTGCTTCATGGCTGTGAAATATGACCGTTGAAGGTGGAAGACATGAGAAGGTTGGCTTCAGGTGTTTGACGACCGTTGTCTTCGTATTATAGGCCATATTCCGTGGTATCATCACACCATGTGAGTAACTGAGAAGTGAGGTATAGAGTTTTGGGGAAGGAGAAGAGGTAAGTCAGTTGACGAGGTTATGAACCTTCATAGACTGAGATAGTTGGCTGTAACACGTGTTACGTATACCTAGTGGCCGTCTGCCTCGTCCCACAATATTGACAGAAGTAGGTTTAAGCTGGGAAAAGGTCCGAGGTGGTCAGACTAAAACCTGGCATTAATGTATGAAGTCGTTGACTGTTGGTTTGAACTATTTGAAGCGATGTAGACTAGCCGATTCAGGTCGGTGGGACACGAGAAACCAGTGGTTGGAGATTGACTCTAGGTGATGATATGGCTGAGAACCGATGTCAGTGGGGCAGATGTATCTCCAGACACATTATCCTCATCTTAACGACGCTATACTTAATCTCGTCATTTTGTCATTTTTCCTTTCTCTCCTTTAGTACTCTATATCTCACCTGACTGAATTTTCTTTTCTTCATCTTCCACTGCCTTTTTACTTGATGTACTGATATGAGGTGTGGCAGGTTGGACCGTTTCGCAGTTATGCCCGGTCCTTTGTTGATGATGATGATCGCACATTCATTGTTTATCCCTCTGATGATCCAATTAACACTCTAGTGTTCAGTAGGTCAATAGATTGTTATAAGTTTGTGTTATATTCAGAAATGAGATTTTACAGCTTTGAAAATAATTGTCGACAAAAACTTTTTTTCGATGAACTTTTAAGTTAGCATTCATCATGAACTGATATTAGTCGGAGGAACTTTGAAAACCTGGGAACACGACCTCCATCCAATATTGTAGTTGAATAAATGTCCTCACATTTGACTTCGTTGATGATAAAACTGAAGTAGGGGTGGTATGACATAGGTTCTTATAATACGCGAACGAGGTAATAACTCACGTGACACTTGGACTCTGAGAATACGATTGTTCTCCCCCCACTCCCTATACTTCATTGACCCACAAGAATCAGAAGACAAAAGACGGCCTGTGATTGTAGAACAACAAAAGCTACTTTAAAAGTAGTATTCGTCATGGATTGACATCAATTGGGGAACCATTGAAAGTCTGGGAGCAATGGACAACTGTTTCGTCCTAGTAGGGGGGCCCTCAGCAGTACGCACCCATGACCCGGCTAGGGGCCGAACTCATAACCTTCAGGTTTCATGGCGAACATGTTAACCATTCAGCCACTGGGTCAGTTTCTAGTGGTCCACAATTTCCAACTTCTGTCAATTCACGACATAGTGCGACTATCACCTGAGGTCTTCCGTTATGATCCGCTTCAAAAGCTAATTGATCTTTTTTTATTCGTGCAGTGATTTCATCGATCACTGAGCCACCAGGTCAGGGCAGAGCTTATCCTACTCTCAAGGTAAGTGAAGTGGTCAACGTACTTAACCACTTCACTCTCTCTTGTTGGCCGAGTCACCGTTGAAGACCAATCATGGAGCAGTAATTTGCATTTGAGTGGTAAGAAACGCAACCGAAACATTCTGAAATTTCCACTCAAGATGTGTGATCTGAGTATTGTAGGTCTAACGAAAATTCTCCGGCTATTAGGTCGGCCTCTGTGTAGTCAGGTGACGAGAGAGATATCTCCATAAGAATATGTGTGATAGAATTGAATAAGAATGGAGACAGTGGGCACCCTTAATAGACACCTCTCGACGATTACAGCTTCCCGGACATCTCACTCTAGGCTCTAACACACCCACACGTGTTCGAGTAGAGATAATTGTAGAACCTAGAATTTTAGATACCATGTTTTTCGTGTTTATCCCTCTGTGGTTATCACAAGAGGACTTCTCGCCTTTTGAAGACTGGAATAATCAATGATTTAGACCAGTCAGAGGGGATCGTCTTTGATTCCCATGTACTAGTTAACACTTCCGCTAACCTGACTAAGGGCACTGTACCACCATCTTTGTATACCTCAGGAGTTAGCCCGTTTGGTCCTGCTGCCTTTCCCCGTTTGAAGTTACCTACAGCTTTCCTGACTTTTGCTAGGGTTGGGGGCCTATCTCAATTTTCCATTTAGGATCCGACTGGATAGCAGGGAACGCAATGGTGTTTAGAGGCCAGTTAAACTGTTCCTCGATTAATCGTTTGGGATTTTTATTAGCTAAAAGCCAAAATGTGAATAAATCGTGATGAATGGAAGCGAAATGACTACTTTGTGTTCTTATTGATGGTAGTCAGATATTTATTTCAAAGAAGTCGTTGACTGTTAGTGTGAGGCATGTAAGGAGGTGTGGACTATCTGACTAGGGTTGCCGAGACGATAGGAATGATTGTTGAAGGCTATTGGTGAAGTGGTTGACAACTGTTTACAGTGGCGCTGATTTATGCACTCTTTGATGTCTTGTGAAGCCTCAGTGCTTCGACTAACCTTCATTTTTAGATTCTTTCTCCTCCCATACACCTTTGTCCACTTCGGTATCAGTCTTTTTGTATCCAAGTTTGAAGTGTAACAAGTTGAACCAATGAACTTGTGTTGGAGGTTGTGCGTAGGGCCTTGCACATAGGTGGTGCGTCAGCTCAAGTTACCATACTTCACAGTAGAGTACAAAGAACAGGTGGATAGAAAAAGGGTGATATTTTTTGTACGCTACTGTGAAGTGTGGTAACGTGAGCGGGTGCACTCGTGTGCGAGGTTCTGCGTTGATTTTGTCAGTGTCGGACAACCGAACGATTTTCAGCCATATCACCAAGAGTTCTCAACCAATGATTTCTTTCATCTTGGGGACCCCAGCCAGGTAGTCCACACACCCTTACATCGTTCAGACCAACAGTCAGTGACTTCATGGATTGGTGCGATGTCTTGACGTGGTCACTCCGAGCCCTCTTTCAACGTAATCCAACTCCCTCTAGCTTGTCACTTTGAGGTAGGCGGTGGCTTGGTATGCGCAATACATGTCCAAGCCACCTCAGACGATTAAGGTTTACAACCTCATCAGTAGATTTGTCTGGCTTCACTAGTACCCTTCACCTAACGTCAATAATGCTTCGAAGACGCTTATGATGAAAACCTTGTAACCGCTTCATGCCTTCTACTTTTAATAGTCATTTCTCACAGCCATATAACCAAACAGAATAAACTGAAGATAGTCGAATATCTTGCCCATCGGCGCCGTAGATGACGCAAGTTGGCAAATGCCTAATGGGCATTCTGTATCCGAGTTGATTCTTGCTAGGGCAACTTGACCACTTCACTCTGTATCATTAAGCTGGGAGTTGTTGCAGACCAGTCAGTCATAGAGTATCATCTTACATTTAACTGGTACCAGTGTTCAACTGCGCCGATTATTTTTATGTGCTATTGAAGAGAAAACTCTTATTAATGTCAACAATTGGATTTTATCCTTCATTAATAATAAATTTTATTATTTGATTATCTGAGATAGCCGTAGTTTGGTAGACTAGTTCAGATTAGCTCAGTTGGTAGAACACGGGGCTGAGTAACCTGGTAGTCGCTGGTTCGAATCCAGCCGCGGTCTAGATTTCCATCTCTCCTTCAATCATCACCCAGTATAATAAATGTTAGTGTAGTTTTATGTTTATGGGGATTTTTTGTTTTTAAGGTAGTTGAAAAACTCTGAACCTCTCTCGGTTAACTAGTTCACTAGTTACTAACCGGTCCTAAGCCCGGGTAAACAGGGAAGATTGGGCATAAGGCTAGCAACCCCATCCCGTAAAACCAATCCAATCGCTAAAAAAACTTCAAAGCACAAACAAAATACAAGAAATAAAAGCAAAACTATTCCTCTCCGGAATCGGAGAGGCGAAATGATGCCGGTTGGTGAAAGCCTGCCTTCGGGAAGCCAATTGGCCGATGTGTCTCCTTTCCTCTCCTCTCAATGAGAGCAAAAGTAGGCGTAGTGACATGTAATGTTCGCACCATGTACGAACTTAGCTGGCAAGGCTGACCAGATTGTAGAGGAGATGAGAAGGTATAGCATAGAAGTGCTTGGAATCTGTGAAAGTGGATAGAATGCAAGTCGACTGTTCAAACTGTCAAATGGAGAGTCAGTCAATAATCTACTCCGATAATGTCACCCAGACGACAACCACCAGCACACTGAGTTTTCGAGTCGCTAGCTATCATGATGTTCCCTTCAAGAGCATCAAAGGCTCTCATGCAGTGAGAACCAATCCCTCCACGATTAGGATGATAACAGCAAGTTTCAACTCAAAAGGAAGGAAGGAAAGTCACAATCATACAATACTACGCTACGCTACGCTGTGCACCTACAAATAATGAAGATGAAGAGAAGAAGGAGGAATTCTACAGACAACTGAAATCAACACTGGACAAGACACCACCTCAGTTAGTGACATCAAAATTCTGATGGGTGAGGTGACATGAATGTCAAACTGGGAGGGGACAACAGAGGAAGAGAACTAACCATGGGTCGAGAAGCGCTCGGTGAGGTGATGAACGAGAATGGAGAATTGTTTGCAGAATTCTGTGCATTCAACGATTTGGTGATTGGAAGTGATGTGTACAAACACAAGGATATTGACAAAGCGAGCGACATGGATTTGATTTCACCAGATGGACACACTACACTCAAATCAGATCGACTTCATCTCAATCTCAATTGACTTTGAAACGCCCGTCAGCAGCGTCGAGCGAGAAGTAATTTGGCAGTTGCTTTAACACTATGGAATACCACGAATTTTCATCAACCTCATTCAACAGCCATATGAAGACGCCACATGCCAAGTGATTCAGAACACAATGGAAAGCTCAGTGACGCCTTTCAAGTGAATACAGGAGTAAGACAAGGCTGCCTGCTATCACTCTTGATCTTCTTGATTGTAGTGAACTGGATCATGCGGCAAATCGTGAGGAGCGAGACGATGGGCATGCGCTGGATCGATGAGAAGACCCTAGAAGATTTGGATTTCACCGATGTTTTACGTTTAATGTCTCACGAACTCGAAGATCTACAGGCAAAAACTAACAAGTTGACAGAAGAGGCAGCGAAGGGGCAGCGAAGACAGGACTTCAACTGAATGTAGAGAAGACGGGGGTAATGAAGAAACCCAACACTTAACAGCATCAACAACAAGCACCAATCGTCATCAACGGGAGAAGGTTAAAGGAAGTAGTCTCTTCTACCTACCTAGGCAGGCAGAATCGTTTCAACTACAGGCGTCACAGACGCGGACGTCAAAGCTAGCCAAGATCGGAAAAGCAAGATATGCCTTCACTAAATTGAAACCAGTGTGGAGATCTTCTGCACTGAGCATAAGTAACAAGATCCGGTTTTTAACACCAATGTCAAATCAGTGCTTCCATATGGTTCAGAAACTTGTCGCGTTACGAAAAGCATTTCCCACAAACTACAGACATTGATCAACAGCTGCCTACGCTCACTCGATACTGAAGATCAAATTGCCAGAAAGTATAGACAAGGAGCAACTCTGGGAATGAAGCAGTCATGAACCTATCACCCAGTAAATGTGCAAAAGAAGAGAGCGGAGATGGATTAGGCATACACTGAGAAGGCCGACTGGGGACATCACGTATCAGGTCAGGGTATCAAGTGGAATCCAAATTGGGTATCCGAAGCGAGGGTGACATAGATAAGATGGTGTGAGAAAGAAATGTAAGCATATGGGCAGTCATGGAGCCATTTTGAAAAGACTACGGGGAACAGAGTGCAATGGAGGCGTGCTACTGAATGCCTATGTTCGACTAGGAACCGAAGGGACAAATAATCAATAAAAATAATCATACTTATACAAATAGTAAATTGCTTACTTCTCTCGTCATATATTAATTAAGTTGCATTCTATGTTGATATTTTTCTTATGAAAATCTTCATTTGTTAATATAGGTGATATTATCAGTATATATCGTAAGGATAGTTCAGATTGGTGGTATGGTGAAGTGAATGGTTCAAAAGGTCGTTTTCCAGTTAGTTATGTAGAAGAATTTTAAACTTTATTGTCTATATATCAGTGGGTTGATTCTTATCTTTTATTCAATCAGATTTATAAGAAAGAGATGATAATTGTTATATAAACTTATCATTCATATTATTATTATTATAATATTACAGTAACAAGTTGTTTTCATCGACTCCTAGTAATTATACAATCATTATTATTTCATGAATTGACATCAAGAGAAGGAATACTGAAGATCTTTGGAGCACTGAATAGTATACACCTATGACATAATGTTCCTTATTTCTTACATCCATCAGTTAATGATATAACGTGACTTTATAACTATCCTGATGTTTTAAATTTGGTTAATTCTATCGGTTATAACTTGTAATTGAAATTTCCTGTTTTTGGAATCATCTTTCAAAGCTAATCACCAATAACAAGTTATGACTGAATAGGGTCAATCAAGTTGAATATGAGAACAGTTAGTCAACCGAGGTATTGGATAAAAGGTTGAGCTATAATTGTGAACTGATGAAAGTAAGAAACATAGAATCATTAGGTTCTGCTAACCTAGTGTCTTAATGATAGTATGCTGATTGTAGAATTGGAAAACCGTGTGTTCGAACCCTGGTGGATTAGGTCTTGAATGCATACTGCTAGAGAGTTGCCTACTAGGATGAAATAGCTACTGTTCAATGTTCCCAGGTTTTCAATGTTTCTTCAACTGATGTCACTACATCATGTATACTAATCTGAATTCAATCAATTAATCTAAAGAAACTTTATAATTTAATCAATCATTTATTTATTTATTTTTCTCATATTTTCAATTTTCATATCTCTCCTCTTCTTCATAAACTGTATACTTAGTTAGATTTGTTCATGTTTTTTCTTTTGAGTTTCTTTTCAGTAGCTTTTTTCCTCTTGCTTGGATCTTTTTTTTCCTGAAAACTTTAATTGAAATTACAATGAACAGTTGTTGTTATTGTTAAAACTGAGTTCTTTTTTCGTTCAGTATAAACATTGTTTTATTTTAATATATTAATAGTGTATGTTAGCTTTTAGTGTGATCCAAGATGTGGATTTCTTCCCACTTAGAACTTGTCAACCAGATGGACCTACTTCTTCTAATGGGCGGTGTCGGAGAATTATAGAACCTAGGATCTTGGATACTATATTCGTCAGGCTGATTCCTTTGTGGTTATCACTAGTGGACTTCTTGCCTTTCTTGAAGACTGGAATAATCAGTGATTTAGACCAGTCAGAGGGGATCATATTCGATTCCCATATACTGGTTAACACTTCGATTAACCTGACTAAGAGCGCCTTACCATCCACCATCCTTGTATACCTCTAGAGTTAGACTGTCTGGTTCCGCCACCTTTCTTCGTTTCAGGTTACCTGCAGGTTTCTCGACTTCTGCTAGTGTTTGGGTAGCCCATCTCAATGTTTCATTTAGGATCCGACTGGATAGCGGGAACGCAATGGTGTTTGGAGGCCAGTTAAACTGTTGCTCGAAGTGTTCTACCCATCATTCCAGTCGTCTCCACTGCGAGTGAATAGCAGATCCCTCCTTCTCCGCTATAGCCTCACTAACTATTGTTGACCTCCCCCAGCCCCCCCCCCAGTCTCCTTAATAAGTCTAAATAACTGTCTACAATTACCCATCGCCACTGCCTTTTCCGTCTCTTTAGCCTTCACTGCCCACCACTGTTCGCGGTCGTTGCGTAGACTTTTTCTCAGTCTACTTTTAAGTTGTGCCCGCTCTTAATTGTACTCAGAGCCTGCAAACAGGGATGCGTTCACGTGCATTCATTAGTTCGGAAGAAGCTGCTGATATCCACTAGCTCTCTTTAGCCACTGTTTTGGAGTCGGCTATGGTCTTCAACGCCGCTTTTATAGCAGACTGAAGATGGTACCAAGCTTCTTCTGGATGAGTGACAGTCTTTTGTTCATAGGGAATTCACAGCAATGGGTAAGGATTCCGCCAAGTGAAACGCAAAAGACAAAGCAGCCATATGAAGAGCAAATCAAGAAAGAAGCAGAAAAGAAAATGAAACATATTTTACAAATGACCATCTTAGTGCAAGGTGTAACATATTTGATGACTACTGTCCCACTTGTTCACATTAAATATTCCTTCCTGCATACTTGTCTTCTTACTTATTTCACTAGTAGCAAGTGTTGTTATTATCAGTCATATTTTTCTGAAGATTCCCAAGTGATTTAGTAGTGAATTAAGCGGCGTAATTTTTCGTGAGTAAGGTTTCCTTAATGTGTCTGATTTCTTGTTTTACATCTTCTGTTTTACCAGTAACTTGATTAGCCCTGTTACTTTAACATTCTACTAAGCAAACTTCAACTGATATAAGCTTGAGACGATTTGAAGTCTACGTAATTATTCAGGTGTATGACGCTTTTCTATAGACACTAGTGCGGCTAAACTCCCATCTTACTTCCTTTTTATTCTCCAACACAACATTACCAATTCCCTCCCCTTCAACACTTTCTTCTTCATCATAGGTGAAATGGATTCCATTGATTTCGGTGTGTAAACAAACTGTCCATGTTGAATATTGAGGAAGTTGTGGGGATTTGGAAATATTGCAAGTGAAGTTATTCATCATAGACTGATATCAGTTGGAGGAACAATGGAAACCTAAGCGCACTGGATCGCAGCTGTTTCACCTGACTAGTATGGGACTCTGCGTCTGTGCCCACCCACGACCTCACCAGGGATCGGACGAACCCACGACCTTCATGTTCCGTGGTTAGCACGTTACCATTGAGCTGGCCACTGGGTCAGCGGGATCCAATGGTCCACATTTCCAATTGAACTGGTGCTCATTGGTGACTAACTTCGAGAGGTGATTCCCGAAGTTCCAATGAGAAGTCGTGACCGGTGGGGAGTTACTCAAAGATGATATTGTGTGGTGGTTGTGCTATATCGTGAGCTAACAGAAGTTGGAAATGTGGACCACTGGATTCTGACCCAGTGGCTCAATTGCAACGTGGTAGCCATGGTACCTTAAGGTCGTGGGTGTGCACTACTGAGGAGTGTCATACCAGGACGAAACAGCTGTCCAGTGCTCCGAGGTTCGCATTATTCTCCCAACTGATGTCAGTCGACGATGAATTACAACTTGAAACTTTCGATGTAAGGCAAGAACAATAAATATTGTGGAGTGAATTGGATTCATTTCATGTAGTCTAAATCTTTCGCATACTCAGTAAATTTAAAATTCTATGCTGTAAGCTATCAGTGTTCAGCGATATAAATCATTAAATAGAATCCAATAGGAAACTCAACACTAAATAAAACCTTTAAACGTAAACAATTATACATATATACATGGGAACAGAGCTGAATGATAAAGTTGACGATCTAAACAATGAATACAGATAAACAAGTCAGACTTTAAAATGGATTAGTTAAACATAAAGCAAAATTTCCTCGTCTTTCTAGACGGCGATATCATCAGTACTAACTTCAGTATGAAGTGAGCTTTCACAATATCTCTCCGTGAGTGATTTAGTAGCTTGCTCTGACGATGTGGTCTATGATTGGTTCTTTTCTTTGATTGTTGTGTCATTGACTGACTGCATAGATTTCCTTGTTGGCCATTCCTTTACTTGACATCTGACCTTTCTGTCGTTTATCATCTTTCTCGTTGGTTGATAGATTGGGTCTATGTCTATACATCTATTGATTGCTGACTCATCTGAATGTCAAGCTTCTAGGAATTCTTTGTACTTCCTCTGCCTACAGAGCGAGAACACACTGCAGTGCAACAACTTCATGGAGAAACGAAGAAAATTACTTGATGTCCATCGTAAAGAAGAACGGCTACCCACCATTCTTTATCAGAAGGTGCCTATCCCGTGCATCATCAACTACAAAGTCATCGATAGAAATCAACAAACGCATCATCCTACCATAAATAGAGAATGTATCAGAAATCACGACAAGATTACTGAGACCACTTGAAATTGGTGTGGGGTGCTTCATAAATCAACAAATTCCCTCCAAACACTATTTTACGCAGACTACAGGATGCAACAGTCAATGAAGACAAATCGAATATCATTTACAAAAGCAACTGCAACAATTGGGGTCGACACTATATTGAACAAAGTGTCCACCCCCTTCGCCGTCGTCTACATGAACATCATTTGGTATTAAACACCGTAAAATTTCGTCACTCATTTCAATGCATGTCGATAATTATGGACATGAATTCAATTTCGACAATGTAGAAATCATGGACGGAGAGAGGAAAGGCAAAGAATATCAGAGAATTCCTAGAAGTTAGGCATTTACATCAGTCAGCAATCAACAAATGTATTAACATACACCCAATCTATCAACCAATGAGAAAGATGATAAACGACAGGAAGGTTAGATGTCAAGTAGAGGAACAGTCAACAAGAAAATCTATGCAGTCAGTCAATGACATAACAATCGAAGGAAACAACCAATCATAGACCACATCATCAGAGCAAGCCAATAAATCACTCACGGAGAGATATTGTGACAGCTCACTTCATACTGAAGTTAGTACTCATGATGTCACTGTCTAGAAAGACACGATGAGAACTTCTCGATTAAACAACTCAGCTGAGAGAACACAATACAACCAAGACCATCCCCATCTGAGCTACAAATATTCTCTATTAATACAAACAAAATACAAGTTGATAGTAGTACATGAATGTGACTACATCTAAAGAACAACTCACCAAGAAAATATAAATAGAATCACAAACACTTTTTGAGTCGATGGTATAACCTATATCGAGTATATGCTTGTCAATGGCACTGATTGGTAGCCTTCTACCTCTCAATGACAGACGTTTCCGTACATGTTCAGAGATTGATTTAATAAGGATCCTTTCCGTTCTTCTGACATACAAGTACAAGTGATTAAATAAATACAACTGGAGGTAACATGAGGGTATTCAAAGGCTACATGGAGAAAATCATATGAGGAAGAAATGAAAGCTTGTGAGCAGTTGTGGAGCGAGGTTGAAAAGACTGCAGAGAACACAGTGCAATAGAGGCGTGCCACTGAAGCCCTATATTCCACTAGGAACCCAAGGGAATAATAATGACGAGGTCTCATATGTAAATTAGTTTCTCTGATCATATTCTTGGTGTTATAGACAACTGTTAATTTCACAGGTGGATAAGACAGTTCAACAGATGGATTCAGTCGGTGATTATTTCGTTTTCAATGGCAGTCTGATAAACTCATCCTTTTTAACCACGGTTGTATCATTCCGTTTCTCATTATTTGGTCTCATAAACTTTATTGGATATCCATTATCTAACAGGATGGTTTGTATAATATCCAGTTCATTATCGATGACTTCCCTCGAGCATAGTCTTGTAGCCCTTTAAAATAAAAAGTCTTGACTAAACTTCTTTTATAAGTGACTGGATAGAAACTATTAAATGTCAAATATTGGCCGGTCCTAGTAGGCTCATGATGTTTTTAGACAGATAGATAGATAGTGTAAATCCTTACGGTAATTGATACTCAATTCATAGCCATATAATTATAATAATTATTATTATTAGTCCCTTGGGTTCCTAGTGGAACATAGGGCTTCAGTAGCACGCCTCCAGTGACCTCTGTTCTCTGAGATCTTTTGAACCTGGTCCCACGACAGCCCACAACCTCTCATTTCCTCCTCGCACGACCTCCTCCATGTCACCCTCACCTCGGACACCCAACTCGTCGCTTCCCATGGGGATTCCACTCGAGGGCCTGACGCGTGATGTCCTCATTCGGCCTTCTCAGTGCATGGCCAATCCATCTCCACTTCCTCCTGCATATTTGTTGCGTGATAGGTTCTTGGTTGGTTCGTTCCCAGAGTTCCTTGTTGCTTATTTTTTCTGGCCATCTGATCTTCAGTAGCGAGCGTAAGCAGTTGTCGATGAATGTCTGTAGTTTATTGGAAATACCTTTCGTGACGCGCCAAGTCTCTGAGCCATACAAGAGCACTGACTTGACGTTGGTGTTGAAAATCCGTATCTTGTTCCGCATGCTGAGTGCAGAA